CAGCTATGTCCCTGTCAGACGATGAAGCTACAAGCGAACGTATAAGTTTAGAGGTACCAGCATACCGTAGAAATCGGGCTATTTCTATGGGAATCGTTGCTGGTATAGGATTTTTAGCAGCTACTTTGGCAGCTGTCTGGTGGGCTAGAAAAAGATTTTGTCGATCGCCCTCCACCGAGAAATGATAATTTATTAATTTGACGACGTTATTACGCATAGATTTTCGAAGCTGAGTTTTACGCCAGTGTGAACGCGTTTATAATCCAAAAACGCGTGTATTATTAAAATGTATCGAATTGTTTCCTCCGCGCATTTATTGTCTCATCTAATCGTATATTATTGTCGTATTTGTCTCGAATTAGATTTGTTTGGAGAGAAAATATCGGAAGATTCATTTTTTATTTAGTGACATGTTCATCGATTAGACGTCTGTCGTATGTCGTTAAACGATTAAAGATTTATTCACGAATGATAATTAGATTAATCATTGTAATATAATTTTTTCTTCATTTTGATATAGATATCTCTTATTAACAAATAATAATAATAATAATAAAAGCTTAGAGACAAAGCGAAATGTTATCTTATATGATTTTCTCTTGCATTATTAATTATCTTTATAAACATAAAAATGTATCGTCGTAAAAAGCTTTCTTATATTAAATAGCATGTTCTACGATCATTCGATAGAATTATTTCGTTATCGCGTAATGTGTTTTAAAAAACGTGATAGATTTTACTCGTTATCTTTTTTTTTTCTTTTTCGATTATCATACGTTTGAATTATCTCTAGCATTTATTTACGTTTATTAGAAATATTTATGTATTCACGTAGTATCGTTTCATTGACGATTCCTCGATGGATATTTTGTAGATCTGATATAAAATATAAACATCCAATATATTCTTATATTCAGATCTAAATTTTTTCTATTGTAAATAAAATATGAAATTCGTAAAATACTCGGAAAAATGCATTGTCGTTCGAATGTTTATGCAAGGAAGGTTTATTATTATTATTTATATTATCAAATTTGTCGACAGAAAGGATTCGCTTTTTTTTTTTTTGCATAAACGTTTCTCATAAATTTCTTCATTAAATCTAATTTAATATAATTAACGTGAGGCGCGTGACCAATTTCTGAAGCATCGTGGAATCTCTCTGAATCATTTCGACACAAGATCACATCTGGCAATTGGCTGGTGGTAAACGTATTCTTTGTTTCGATAAGATGAAATATTATAGGTTGTCCCATAACATATGAACCTACCTATAACACGTTGTATCATTTTTCGTATCTCGTCGTCGTACTCGGTGATACAGACAAAAATTGTAATGCGACAAATTATCATTCACGATCATCGTCATACTTGGAATAATAATAAAGTCTAACAAAAACTAAAATGAAGAGTATTTTCATGAAATTTCATCAAATCCTTCGCGATACTTTTATTAATAAATACAATTTGAATAAATATAAAATATAATAAACATAGATATATAATATTTGTGTTAATTGGAAAGAAATATCTGTAGTTGTTTTTGTTGTTTTGTTTTCTAAATTTTCTTTTAACAAAGAACATTCGTGCGATTCAAGACATTGTCTTGGCAATTAAACGAGCACTTTCTGCCGATTCAAACGAACACTACGTACCGGCCGATTTATAACGAATAAACGCCCAGTTGTAACTCCCATGGGGATCACTTGAGCAACAAATTTGACAAATGAATTAAATGGATTCCACAACGTTCTCGCGCCATATCGTCTTGTCTTTGAGTTACGATGATTCGTACGATTGTATTGTACATAGTATGACGTTCCTTATTTTTATTTTATTCTAACTATCTTTCAAATTGAATGAGAGTTATGAACTAATATATAATTTTATCATTAATTCGTGATATTAAGTTCATAAATTTGTTTTGGATACATGATAAACTTCGCATTTTTTGCTCCAATTATGTTTCGTAATCTAATCTTCGACTATAAGTCGGAATAAGAAACATTTCATTCAACTTCGATTGTATTGCTTCATAACAATATGCAAAATCGTGTAATAAATAATCGACGAGTATAATATAACTTGACAGACACAGCTTCCTTATAAATATATACTAACATTTTTTTAAATTTCTTTTTATTGATTAAAGGACATTGACGAGTCTCATACTACATTTTTGTGGAGTCATAAACACGCAGTGTCTTAAGGCGTTTATCCGTACAAACGTACTAATCGTGTTGCCGATCATTGTTTCATTTTAATGATCGACAGGGAATTTGTTTTTTCTTTTCTTTTTTCAAGAACCAAGAACTTGTTTTCAATAATAATTTACATTTAAATGAAATTTGTAATACAAGCCAACAACTGTCACCGTAGTATTAGTCAATATAATTGATCGCTTATTTAAAATTATGATACAAAATGAATTAATAATTGCAACTCATTTCTTTCCCTTTTTTTTTTTTTTTTAGTCTCAACAAAAAGTCCACTGACCGTGAAATACGAATTTCGTTTAGATAAAACGATAAATGCGAGAAAACTAATTTTATCTTTCACAAAAAAGACGTTTGGTGCTTTACATGACCTACATATTAAATAAACACGCCTGTTCAAATTAAAAGACGCGTCTGGAATTTCTAAGCGCCCTAGCATGATTTTCACGTGGTGCTTATAATCTAGATAAGAAAGAAGCTTCCGCTACTCTTTCCTTATCCTTTCGTTTAGAATTAATTCTCAACGACGTGTTCAGATATCGATCGATATAAAATTATTCAACACACACACACATCTCAATATCATTATTATTCACATTAGAAATTTGAAAAAAAATTATATACGACAATTGTCTTCTCGGTTTTTGCGAATTAATTTACAAATCGTCTTTTTATGTTAGCCTACAATTTTATTTTCTTTTTTCTCCCAATCAAATCAATTATATCTAAAAATTGCATTTAAAACGAGAAATCGATTCTAGTTATTTAATGTAATTTACAAAAATCTAACTAGACGCAACCTAATACTTGCAAAGGGACAGACCGGAATAAGCTAACCATGAGATACATTGAACTAATACGAATGCAAAATTTCTAACGAAGACGTCCAAGATGTCTATAAATAGAAATAAACTAAGACGGTAGAAACACTAGAGGAGTGAAGGGAACCAAAGCACTTCAGAGGTTTACCACCTGAATATTTCTCCTCTCTTTCATTAGTTTTTCTTGTCTTCTTCTTCTCTCCGGCTCACGTTACAAGTTCTTATAACGATGCATGTTTTTTAAAAATCATTTACCTCGTCTATTATTTATTTCCGCGCGTATGCGCGTTTATAATTCATTAAAATAAAGGAACATAGTATGAAAAGTAGTAAAACTTGAATAACTGGTCTTATGTAATGATAAATCATAGACTTCATTACCACCTCGTAATTTTGTTATTAACGAGATTATTATTGGTAATAATAAGCAGCGAATAACAAAATGATTTTTGGCTCAATTTACTACATCGGCTATCATACGAAACTATGAAAAAAAACTCCAATGTCGTAGATACAAGAAATGTAAAATGATTGACAAGACCGTGAACATTTTTTCTTATGGAAAAAAAAACAAAAGAAATAGACACTCATACAATTTCAAGGATCGAAAGGGTCTTCGTGTAAATATGATTCTCTCTCTCTCTCTCTCTCTCTCTCTCTCTCCCTTCTTTTCCTCCTTTTTTTTAGAGAAGTGTCTATCTTAAGCCTTGAAGGTTTTATTATTTCAATGCTGCTTTTATATGCATTTTTTTTCAAACAGGCATTTTTCTATGCCTTTTTTTTTCAAACAGGCATTTTTCTATGCCTTTTTTTTTCAAACAGGCATTTTTTTATGCCTTTTTTTCAAACAGGCATTTTTTATGCCTTTTTTTTCTTTGAAACTGTATCTACAGGTTAGAATAAATTACCGACTCTTTTTTTTTTGTTTTATTTTACTGTAAGCTGCGCCTTTTTTTATCGTAGATATTAATTATATCATCGTTTGATGATAATTTTAATATATTGATATCACAACCAATAAGATAAAGTAACGTTATAATGTTTTGACATATTACAAGCTCCTTTCTAATATTATTCCTATTAATTTGTCAGTATAATTTTTTACATCACTTCCCTATATTTACAACATCAATTTAATTAGTTATGTAGATTAATCAGATTTCTTAAAAACAAATATGCAGATTAATATTCAATTTATAAAATACGATTCGACAGAAAGAGTGTGGAAGAGAACAGAAAAAATATGAAATATCAATAATTATAAAATATTAATAATAATAATTAAAAAATATAAATTTCTTTTCGTTCGATCGTGAAAAAATTAAGAATAAAATTATGTAACGTGCAGATGAAGATATTATGTTAATGTAACCTATAACGACACACGAACCGTGTATTCGAAGATTTATTATAATAAACCAAAAACGAGACGTGTAATTTAAAAAAAAAAAACATGCATCATCATAAATTAATTATCTCTTTGAAGATATCCACGAGATTAGGAAAGAAAAAAAAAAAAAGAAAAAACTGTCGATAGAACCAAACGCGTAATCAAACGAAAACGTATGCCAAACCGTAATATGACTCATATAGATTAACTCTATATAAATTATTATTGACAGTGTAAGGTGCGAAAAGTTATTTTTTATTCTTGTTCTCACAGATGTGTGTAAAGATTTTATTAGCATCATCGTTTTCGTTTTCCTTGCTTCGGTAAAACGACGATAAAATACGATTGTAACGATTTATTTAAAAACACCGATTCAATACGAGAAGAAATACTAACACGTGGTTGGTTGGTAGGTAGGTAGGTAGGTAGGAAGGGAAGGAAGGTTGTGTCATTTATCTACTGACGAGAAAGAAGAAAGACGGATAAGGGGGGATAAGGGGATAAGGGGATGAAGAGACAGTGGGGTTGCGTGTAAGGGACAGAATACTTGGAGGGAAAATCTTTCCTTCTAATGTGGAGGGGACGCCTACGATAAAACTGTTAGGCATAGCCTGTTGATCCATTACGCTTGCCAGTTACAGACTCAACGGTCGTCGGTGTCGGGTCGCATCGAAAAAGTAAGTTCGGTCGTTAGAACACTTACGATAAATATTTATATAAATACTCAAAAAAAAAAACACGCACACGCACACGTACACACTCATAAATTTATCTTTTTATCTATGATTTTTCGACAATATAAATGATAGGTTTGAATAAGTATTGAAAAGTGATATTTATTTAATAAAGGGATTCATCTAGAGGTTTGATAAAATGACTCTATCGACCATTTGTTTTCTAATATTGTTTTATACGTTTCTTCTTTTTTTTGTTTTTTTTTTTTTTTTAATTATTCTTCAATTATTTAGAACGATTATTTGTAAATTAACGGCTTATAATGGTATTTTTTTGCACGAGTGTAGACATAACGGATATGCTTTTTTGTCGTTTTCTTTTTCTTGTTCTTTTTCTCTCAAATAAAATCATCTTCTTGAAAAATTTTATTATCAGTTGTGACACACATTTTTATACTTATTCAACATATTTCGTTACTTGAGATCAAATGTTATAAATGACAAAATACTTGTAATTCTATATAGTTAAATAACGTAGTTTTGTAAGTGATATTATTATATTATATTATATAAACGTCGTATTAACAGTTTGAAATACATCTATGAAGAGATCTTATCGTCGATATTAAGAACGTTGACGTTAAATATGGTTGACGCGATATTGAGTGTTATCATCGTACATTCTTTTCAACGCTTACGCATTATCAGAAATTTGAACAATCTAACGGTTCAATGAAAATGATAATATTAAAGAGAAATTTAAAGTTACATAGATAGAAAGAGAGAGATAGATAAAGGTAAGTTTATCGGTAATATTATTTTATGATATCTCAATTATATTTTCTTTTTAATCAAACAACGACAAAATATCTATATATTATTACGTGTAAACATAGGAATATGTTTATCCGAAGTTAATAAAAAATATAGAGCTCAACGTTGAAAATAATTTTTACGTACCAGGAACGCGCGTACGTATGGGAAATAAAAAAATTATTAAAGCCTAACGAATTCATTTAAAACAACACTTACTAAGGCTATTAATATTGTAAAGATATTTACGCGATAATTTATAAACCTATTATTTTCTACTCGCAAAAAACAATACGGGTAAAACAATTTTTTGTATGGTTGGAAGAAAAAAAACCAACGTACGTCATGAAACCAATGAGTTTTTAATTAATTCGCGAAACTTTCAACCACAAATAATAAATTTTTCACGAAGAATAATAATTCTTACTCTCTATTGCTTTTTTTTTTATTAAAAAACGCAAATCGATTATACAATGTCATAACAAATTATACGATAATTGTGGATCTGTGTGTATTATATACTTAATACTTATTTCATTTTTTTGCTAATATAAATTTACTATTATATAAAATATACCAAAGATATTATTATTCTCTTTTATACACGATGACAATTTTTATAAATATTTTTATACATAATCGGCTATATTAACTCTTATGTAACAACTTTTATATAATTTTAACGATTAAAGTTTAACCGTTTGAATACCAAAGATTTAAAAATAAATAATAGCGCTTTTTAAATGAGATGCGAAAAGATCCAACCGATACAATAAATTTTATGTTAATTTATGCTAAAAAAAAACTAATCTAATTTGTGTGCAATGTAAAAAAGGGGTTCATTTAATATGATTTGATAAACGCTAATGTTTTAAATGGTATATATTACTTTCAATGAAATATTGTTTGTTCTTAAAATTTTACATATTTTTTATTTTTTATTTTATTTTTAATATTATTTTATGAAATACTATATTATATATATATATAATAGGTAACAATACAAAATACAAAATGTATTACTCGGATTATATACAAGAGAAGTAACGATGCATATCTTTGCCGTATAGTTGTCCGTAATGTTCATACAAACAGTTAATGATACAATAATTTAAACAATTATAAAATATAGTATATGAAATTGATTATTTTTGGAAATTCCATAGAACACTAATTTCCATATTTGATAGGAAAACGCACGACATACGACATATAATTCGTAATTCAATAATTACATGCACAATTAGTTGATTTTCATATGAAAATAATAACTCTAATATATTAGTTATATAAGATGATTAACTAATTATATATATATATCAATCAATCAACTATAATGAGATACATAGATAAAATAATAAACAGCTACGCCTCGTTAAAAAGTAAACTAATTCTCATATGATTATTTATTGTAAAATTATAAATGCAACGTTGGGTACGTTTAATGTATACTTAAATGAATAACTGTTTCGGAACAACCATCTACTGTTACCTTTGTGGGAAGATATTGGGCTGTGTTAAGAAACTGTTGAAAAAAATTCCTCGAATCTATAAAAGAGATCGTAATATCGACATATGTATACATATCAAATAAATACTAATCTTCCCTAATCTCATTATAATTGATAAGAAGAATCAAGTTAAAATTAGACATCTAAATTTATTCTTCAAAACAAATATTAGTCTCGGTATAATTATCCGTTAATCTCAAAAGTAAATTCAAATAAGAATATCTAATAACCGACCTTTCTCCTGTTTAGAAAATAATTATCAATTATCCGAATAAATTATAATAACATTTTATATTTATATAAAAGACGAACAATATTGAAAATCTCGTTAAGAAAAAAACAAAAGAAGAAAAAAAAATGTGTCTAATTTTATTGTTAAATTGTGTCTAATTTTAAATAAGACGCATACATATATATATAGACAATTACATTATCTAATAGAGATAAACAATTGTTCTCTTCCCCCTTTTTCTCTCTCTCTCTTTCTCTTTCTCTTTCATAACTTTATCTTATAACTTTACTCAAGAGTAAATAATCGTCATTAGAAAAAAGAGGGTGGTTAGATCAAAGATTGTAGGAAGCAAGAGTCAAAACATTACTATTTATGGGTTGCGTCAAGATTGCGTATATGTATATAGATATATGTGTATATTCATGTTAAATCAGAAGACTAGACACATATACAATAATGGATAGATTAGATAGGATTTTATCTTTCAGAGACCGAAAGATCAGTGAGAGTAATAGAGCGGTCAGCAGCAGCGTGAATCAGCAAACGGAAGAGCTACGGGGTGGGGTGAGGGAGGTAATCGTGAAGGAGGAGGTGGTGGAGGTGGAAGAGGAGGTCGACGTTCATTGAGTTCAGGGTGCACATGTTGAAAAGACGGGAAATAACGAACGTTCTAATTTACAGTCGTCTTCGTCCTAACTATAATAGTATACGTCATCAAAATGAAGGCTTTGATTATATCGACCGTAGTAATATTAACTGGAATACTCGTATTTGTTTTGGGATATTATTTGGCTGTTCACAACGTACCCCTCTTTACTCATATCCTTAACGAGGTGAGCAAATTCTATTATTATTTTCTTTTTTCAACCAATCCCCCAAAATAAAAAAAAATGAAAAAGAAGAATAACATTATAGTATATCGTTAAATCGATATCATTCGATCGGACATATTGTATTTTTCTTTTTCTTTTTTTTTTTTGATCTCGTATATAATTATCAATTTGTAATGAATTTATTTTTAAATATAAATATATAAGAAACACACACACGCGAAAATAATTTCCTCGGATATTCGTTTTTCCGTAACGATTTTTTATTATTGATTCAAGTGAATTATAAAAAATAACGTTTATTATGCTAAATTATTCGATTGCATGTAAAATAAGAGATACATCTCAGTATTTATAGATTTATATTTATATTAAAGATGTAGATCGTTTGAATATGAAAGTTTTATAATGTTAATCTATCATTATTATTCTCAATGAAGAACGATATTAAACTGTTATTTATATACCGTACAGATATTGAAATTTATATAATTTTATACATTAGCGAGAACCTTATAAAGATTATTTGCATCGATATAGCTTTAATATCCAATCAACACATTATATTTTTTTTTTTCCTTTTTTTTTTTTTTTTACTTTTACAAGCAATTAATAATAGAAAAGTATTCTGTATAATAATCATCGCACAAATAATTATAACAAGGTAAAACAAGCTCATAAAACAAATTGCGCTGACGTAAATTTATTACTCATTAAAATTTAATAACAATAATTATAAGTTTATGTCACAAAATGTTTTGTGTGTTTTTGCTATTATAACTTGCTAATATCCTTGCATTAACTATTTATGTACCTTTAATAAGTTTTTTGCTTGAATTTTCATTGGTTCGCGATTATTAATGACCGACATATTTTACTCGTAATATCCATGCAGTAAATAAAAGTATGCGTAATATCATTCAATTTTTCCAGCAATTGGTTTTATCGGAAAATTCGAAAAGCTACGAATTTTGGAAGGATACGAGAAATCTTCCGCCTATGCATTTAGATTTTTATTTTTTTAATTGGACGAATCCAGAAGATCTGACTGTTCATGGTGAAAAACCGAATTTAGTACAAGTTGGCCCGTATAGTTTTTTGTAAGTATTTAAAAATGAAATCAAATATCGTTATAAAATATTTCTTAACATTTAAATGACCTCAATAAAATTGATAAAACGGTGATAGATAATATATATTTGGCTGACAAAAATTAAATCTCTATTTTTAATTTATTCGTATTTTAACTGATTATCAATTGCTGTGTTTATTATAATATATTATATTTAACCTTTCTGCAATATTTCACAAAGTTAAATGACAATCCGATTTAATTATTGCTTTGATTTGCTCATTATCAACTTCATTGAACCTGAACGCTGGTCATCTTTGAATAAAAAATCAGTGAATACAAAAAAATCTTTTAATACAAAAACCAATTTTAAAAAATATACATTCTGTTAAACAATCAAGACCATAAACTTTACATATCTCTTAGTGAACTTTAACACCTTTCTTGCTTTTACGAAAATAAAATAATAATATAGTCGAATAGATTCGTTTTTCCACTCCCCCTGTTAAAATTAATCCTACAAACTAAGCAAACAAAATTACGCGTAATTAAATGATTATGATTAACAAAATGATTACTGTTTGATTACCAAAAAAACGTAAATACTTAATATATGAATTATTCTAATCTGATCTTAGATAAATGAATACTAATGGAAAATCTAATAATGATAAATAAGAAATACTTAACCTCATAAAATGACATCTTAATGAGCAATAAAACCATTCAGTCAAATGGTAAAGGAGTGCGTAGGCGATACTATATGAATTAATTGTTTAATTGATGATTTCTTTATTTTCTGAAGGAACTTACCGTAATATTTCTATCAACGAAAAGACTCTTCGTCATCCTTTACTTCGCAGGTCACCAACTATCTTACTTATAATTGACTCTTTCTCATATGTTTCAATTAAAAACATTCTTATTATCATAATAGGAGATAAATAACGTTCAACAATTTATTTGATACTTCAAATCTTTCTCACAATTATATGAATGCGTATAAAAAGATTAGAAATATCCATTTTATCTCACATGATCATCCATTCAAAGAACAAAAGCATGCTTCTTCTATGGGCCCAATGATTTTTTATTTCTATTTCTCGTTTTTGTCAAAATTATTTCTATAATAAATATTCTTTCTTCCATCTGATTTATACATCATTAATCGACCTTCTCACAAAGTAAAAAACATTCATTTAATTGATCACATGAAAAGAAAAAGGTGATTACGTAACAATGATTCATATTTTTCTAGCAGTTATTAAATAAATAGTATATAATATATGCATCTAAGCATGTAAACAAATGTGTATGTATATACATGTGTACCCAGCTATGTGAAACATTTTATATTTTAATTTTTGCTTATTCATTCGATCAGGATAAAAAATTAAATGACAAAAAAATTGATTGGAACGGATCGTAAAGAGAATATTTTCTAATATCTCGTTACAGAGAGATCAGGCAGAAGGTGAATATTACGTTTCATCCAGAAAATAACACCGTCAGTTACTTTCAACAACGATTCTGGTATTTTGATCAAGAACGTAGTAATGGAACATTGCAAGATATTATCACACAACTCGATGCAGTCGCAGTAGTGAGTATCCTTGCTTTATTTTATTTATAATATAGAATTAATACGATTATTAATCGATGTGTTTCAGTCAGCCACGCACAAAATACGCAACTGGTCTTATTTCATGCAAAATACCTTCTCCTATATACTTAGTTCGAGATCCGATTTAAGTGTAAGAAAAACTGTTGACGAATTGTTGTTCACTGGTTACGAGGATACGTTAATTAACATGGGAAAGGTTGCAGCTACTCAGGAAATGCCACCCTTTGATCGCTTCGGTTGGTTTTATACGGTATGATAATATATTAACATATGATATATTTATTTTTTACAATTACACGAACTAATTGCACAGAGGTACATACAATTACAAATCAAGTTTGATCAAAATAAAATAGAAAAATGTACATTAGTCGTAGAAAAATAATATTATATCAATTGGTTATTGTTTATTTTATTTAGACGACTCTGTTAGGTGGTAATAGTCGTGTGTGTGGGGGGGGGGGGAGGGGGGTAATGGAATTATAGATAGTAGTAAATTATTCGCAGGCAAAGCCTTAAATTGCTACTGTACAAGGCGGGTCACGTCTACGTTGAATAACGAATGAAAAGCAATGGGGGCATATTATGTATTAATTTGTTGTGTCATGCGTGCAACATCAATGGTCGGTTAATTTAAAATTGCATCGTTTCGTCTCAAGAAAACGTTTTATATTTATTGTTTCTCAACTTTTCCCCGCTTAATATTGTGGTCACAATTTTTCAAAATAATTCTTGAAAAATTTTTGTGATATAAAAAAACTGAACAACAGTCTCAATGCCGATGTTTAAGTTGTTTATCTATTATATGAAAAATAAATAGGTTAAAGATAACATAAACGTTTTGTCAAGCCATTGTCTCTGTGTTTAGTTAGAAGTTAAAAAATTACAGAAAAAAAATAAGGAAATGCATACCTACAAAAGTAACGTGTGAAATGTTCATAAATAAAGTAAAAAAGTAATTCCGCAATATCGCTGAGTCACCGCGTGCAATATATTGATAATAATAATATACTTCTTAATTTGTTCTCAGAGAAATGGTTCTGTTAACTTCGATGGTAACTTCAATATGGATACCGGTAGTGAGGATATCAGTCAATTAGGTATATTGAAAAAATGGAATTACAAGGATACCACGACGTACTTTAAAAGTCCTTGCAATGTAGTCGAAGGAAGTGCCGGTGAATTTTGGCCGCCGGATCAAATCGAAGCTGATATCAATTTATATAGTCCGGATATATGCAGGTGAGAAAGTTTTTCGTTTACTTCGAATATATTACAATATTTGCCGTTCAATTTTACGTACGTTCGAGTAATGTAAAAAACATATCTATAATATTAATTATTACGAGAAAATTCAAATGAATAATATTTTAAAATCGTATATGTCGATATTCAATTATGAATATTTTTATATTTTACAATTGAATTATTTACTTACATCGATGTATAAAAATGTGTTCTTTTATTTTTACGGACAACAGATAGTATCGACAGAAAACCTTAACCTCTACAGACTTTATTCGTATATATTAACCTTCGTGACGTTGCTATAATAGGATCGGGTCTGTAATCTCATTTATTTAACAGATAGGTACAAATTTAAGACACTTATCTCGGTGGTTGTCACAGTGTTGAGAGTGCGGTCATGCTCTCTATGCTTTTAAAATTTAACCTACTAAAAATACAATTTGTTTTTTTAACGATTTAAAAAAAAAAAAATCGTTTATTCTATTGGGCAAAGTATAAAAAAAACTCAGCGAGTTTTCTTTTCTCCTTCTATTTTTTTTTTCAGAGATTCTTTGTACGAAAAAAATAGCATGCACAGACTAAAAGTATCGCTGTTCGTTGTGTATTTGCATTCACATAATTTAACTCTCGTACTAAACATTTTTTTAAATTTATACTTTTTTTTCTCTTTTTTTCACGTACACGATTGTAAAATTTGATATAAATTTAATGATATTTTGCCATAAGCAGTCACGTATACATGATTTCATTAGTATTTCATTATTTATTATGATTTCGTTATTCCAATGTTTAGGTAACATTATAGTAATTATAATAATTATTATGATAATTTATATCTATATATATATAACACATATAAATATATATAATATATATATAAATACTGATGATATTTTTCGAGAAACAATCGCTACCATTGTCTCCCTTTCCAATTTATCATGTCGTTTTGTTTTTAAAAGTTTTTAAAGGAATATTTTTACCTGTTAAATCGCGAAAACATTTATAACATTTTGAAATTGATTATACAAAAATAAAATATTAATTCGAAAAGTTACTATAATTTTTTCAAATAAAATGTTATGAATAATCATTGAAAAATCTAATACTACGTAATAAAAATAACGTAACAGTTTTCTCTTAACACCTTTTTTTTTATTAATAATTATAGTGTAATTATTAAAATTATGTAAATGTAAACCTGCGCAACACTCGTTGGAGCCATCTTAACGGTAACGCGAAAAAAATGTATATGTGATATCGGCAAAATATTAAATAACAAAAGAAATTATGATAAAAATGTTGATATAAAATACATCGAAGAAATCATTTTCTTCATTATTTTCTTATAATATTTAATAGTTTATTATTTCTGTATCTTTACAGATCATTGACGTACGAATATGAGAAAAAGGTTAATTATAGGGGCATCGTCGGTAATAAATATACTCTCGGTAAAAAAACTTTAGGAAACGATACAAAAAAACGTTATCCACACGACCAAGCTAAGTATTTTGAGATTACAACTACGACCGAGGATTTCTTCGAGTCTGATTACTCGGCAGAAGTTACCCAGACGCCCCAAAACAACGAGGATCCTGACGTAGTTAATTTAGGAAATTGTTATTGCAATGGCGAATGCAATCCTAGTGGTTTAATAAATATAACTTCATGTCGTTACGGAGCACCGGCCTTTGTCAGTCTTCCTCATTTTTATAAAGCTGATCCTATGTTAAGTAATCAGGTCATAGGGATGAACCCTAACGAAGAAGATCACAGTTTCTACATCATTTTAGAACCCGTAAGTTATATTGTATCTTAAACAAGTAATCTTTAATAGGCAACTATAAATGTATGAACAAATGTTTACTCGATTAAATACAGGTGTTCAATTCTTATCATTCGTTATCTTTGACCGATAATAATTTAATAATACAAATTTCAAAGTCTTATCAATTTCTATTCCAGTTAATCGCTAAAATAATTCGATTACAATAATTTAACACATTATTTATTTATCGATAAAAAATTATTTTTTTTTTAATCTTCCAGGCTACTGGAATACCTTTAGAAGTAGCTGCTAGATTACAAGTCAACATGCTCATACAACCGTCGCATACCATTTCGTAAGTAGATTTTTTAAGCTACAGAGGAAAATCGATTTAAAAATTAATCGATTAATTAATTGAGAAGGAAATAGCTTTTCATTCCTAATTAAAAATTTAATGTTACTTTTTATATCTTTCTAGACTTTTCCAACATGTCCCAAAGATATACTTCCCAATGTTTTGGTTCTCTATGAAGGTACAAGCACCTGAACAATTTGCATCCGAATTGAAAAGTTTGTTTGCACTTAAAGACTTAATGTTGTGGTCTGGTATATTTTTAATCCCGACTGGAATTACCATAATATTTTCGACTTTGGTTTATCTATACTTCAGGAGGAATACAGTTCACGTGAGTCGATTAGTTTTTACTTGACATAAAATAATTGATATCTTAATTTTTTTTTTTCTTCTTTTTTTTTTGTTTTTTCTTTTTTGTTCATACAATTAGCAAGGAATTCTTAACAATAATATTTACGATCCTAACGCGATTGGAATGAATGTCTTGAATAATAGAAGAACATTTTAGGAACAAATAAAGATGGAGAACTCGAATGGTTCTTCAAAGAAAAACGGGGAATCTGTCTACTTGAGCAAATTGAATCCCGATGAAGACACTCACGTCAGAAGTAATCGTCAATTGTATCCGAAACTTTATTGATGATTTATTATGTTTTTATCTTTTATCAGATCATCATACTTGTGCCAATAGCAGTCGAATTTTAAGATTTATTATCTTAAATCCGTCTACCAAGTTTTGAAGACACCTGCTTATTTGATTGAGCTTCGATATTTCTGATTAAAAGGAATGCTTATCCTTATTAAACAAATTACCGTCCTCACTCAAATCGATAAAAGAATATAAATATAAATGTGTAAATATATACATATATGTATATTTGTGTATTTATACATATACGAATATTTTTATACTCTTATTAGAATGAATGCGCAAATTTCGCGTGGTTAGATATCAATTTTTAAATTAAAAACTAAAATATCGATCCATAGTTGAAATTTTGTACGCTGAATATACCAATGATTAAGTTTCATTTTATTTTATAAAGATTTTACAAATATTTTATAAGCCATAATCCTCTAACATTTAAATACATTCCTGATGTAGAAATTAGTGTATGTAAATCGATCAAGATTATAAGATGGTAGAATTTAAGACTGAAGAATATTTTAATTGTTATGATTGTGATTATTATTTTATTAATGGATGGTAATACAAAAAAAAAAATTAAAAAGACAAAGTGCGGCCTTGAATATTATAGTTTTCTATATAGACTCATAAATTTCCGAATCAAATATTGGATTTATCCTAAAATTAATAATGTTATTAAAAAGAAGAAAATTGATAACAGAATGATTTCTATCGGTTGTTGGAAAAGATTAGTTTGTTACAAATAACGTCGTTGTGCCTTGTAAATTCTATTACAACAATTATTAAGAAATTGTTATTAATAGTATTATATTTTATTAATAACAATTTTAGAGATTTATTTTCAGGATAATCTCTAATAGATCACAATACTTCCATTTACATAGAATACATTTTTTAATTAACATTGCGCATTACTTCTTATCTTTGACATAAATGTTTTCTACGAAGCCTCGGAATTTAGATATTTTTCATTAAACTGTTTGACGTTCGTAAAAATTGTAAAATAATAGATAAACAAATGTTTCATGAAAAATTTGTCATATTATTTTAATTTTCATATCAAAAGGAAAGCTTTATTGAAATATATTTTGGTCTTGCTCTCTAGGAAAACATTCATTACTCTCTTGATGTGCAATGTATTAAAGAATCAAAATAACTACGTTTACATATTTGTGCCAAACATTTTTTTTTATGATCGAAAATCTACGGTTGAACGTATGCTTAGACATGTTCACTAGATAGACACGAATACGGGAATTAATATAGTTTTTATACCTGGTGTAGTGCAATATGACTATTTAACAGCGTTGAACAGACCTCATAAAAAAATAGCGTAATAGAAGATTATAAAAAATTATAAACTATCAGAGCTTACGCGAAATTGTCCACAATTTCGCATATAACATAATTATTTTATTTTATTTCTACCATTAAAATAAAAATAATATTATGTTATATATATTTGCATTTTCTCTAATAGAATTATAACATTTTTATTTTACGAAATATATTTTTAAAATATTTTGTTCGCAAGTATAAACTTGCTCTTGTACACCCCGCTGTTATATTTAATTATAGGGTTTATGTTTCTATCCCGATTTATTTTAGAATAAATTTTGTATAAATTAAATTTTAATAAATAACCTATCATTTTTTTGATTATATCGTTAAATTCTATTTTTGTGTATTGTAAGATTTCAGAAAAATAATTTATAAAAGTATACTCTGCTATTTTTAGTTATCCCCGCGATCGAAATATTTAATAGTTCTCTGAAATATTCACAGTTGATAAAGTAAATTACTTCTATATTTATATTTATTAATTAATATCAAACTTTACAATTTTAGATATATATGAAACACACCTTTTCTTTAATTATTATGATATTTGATTCAAAAAAAAGGAAAACATAAGATAAATAATTATCAAGTTATTATGAAAAGTTCAAGTATACCAATTCTCAGGAATTTAAACCGAACATCTGTTTAATTCTGTTATCTACTACACATTTAACGAATTTAATAAAGAAACATAAAAGTATCAACGAAGAAACCTAAACAAGTTATTACAATACCATTCAAAGCATTAGGGTGAACAAATTTTGCGATTGTAAGCAAGAGCAAAAGAAAATAAGAACAAAAAAAACTAACATAAATAATAATAATAATAATAATAATAGTAACAATATAATATATGTTTTAAATATATATTAAATATAAATGAAATGTGTTACGATTCGAACAATTTGGAATTTTTCAAAAATAAGGAAAAAACTACAAACACGTGTAAATAGAATTGAGATATTTCTAGAGAAATGGGCCAAAGAGAAGTGAAGATGTTGAAAGAGTAGGGTTTCGTGTAAAGGACAGAAAAAATTTGGAAGGAAATATCTTCCCTTGTAGAGGGGACACTACCAATAAAACTGTTAGACGTTAGCCCGTTAAATCCATTAGGTTTACAAGTTGCAGACGCAACACACGTTGTGTCCTATATTTCAAATTAAGTTCGATCGTTGGAACATTTAAAAGTATATTTAAATACGCATACGCAAACATACAAATAATATTTCTATTTACCTAAGTATATAGAACAAGTGATACGATTTACAGTGAAACTTATTCATCAATAAAGGAATTCATCGGTAAGTAGGATAAGGCGACTTAAATCAAATATTTCTGATAATTATTTTACTAGTATGATTAAGATTACGTGTCAATTAAATAATTTGTTTTTGTAATTCGCAAATTCGAGATTATACGTTAATATAAGCCTTTTGCTACATATATAATAATCTTGAAATTTTGTTATAAGTTCAGTCAATTGACCTATTGATTATAGAAAAAAAATATTCGCACTTATTATATTTTTCAATTAATCTTATAAGCAGACTCTTAAATAAAAATAATGAATGTTTTCCAGTTTGTGTTTATTTAATATTGTTGAAAGGAAACAGACGATTTGTAGTTACATATACGAAGAAGATTAAATTTCTTACTTACATTAAGTAAGGTGAATAATACTTTGTGAATCTTTAAGAAAAAAAAAAAATAAACATAGAATGATCGGAGATACAATTAGAAACATACAAAGATTTAAAGAGATAAGCAATCGTTCTTCTCTCTCTCTCTCTCTCTCTCTTTTTTTTTTTATCTTTATCTCATAAATTTAAGGAAGAATAAATATTTTTAAAAATAAAGAAATGGAAGATAAAATCAAAACGTTGCCGTTTATGAATCTGAATAGAATTTATACGTACATGTGTATATATACATGTGAGAATGAGTGAGAATGTAATGGACGATAGAAGTAAACAGAAAGTGGATAAATTGTTATAAGAGATCGATAGTCAATTCGGGATGACCGAATGTTTGAGAAACTTTGAAAAAACGAATACGTGTGGGTGGCAAGAAAGTAAACGCGTTTAAACAACAATTGAAATGAAACATGTGAATATTTTTGCTTCTATTCATTATCGTATATCCTTCACCTTTCATATGCTTGTTTTTATCTTTTACGGGTTTAAATTATTTCTCTATTAAAATTTGTTCACACTTATACAATACTATCAAAGAGGTCGGGTCATTTTGCTGAGTTTTTGGAGTCAAGGGCACACGGTTTTTATTTTTCCGAACAGGTCATCCATCGATATTACTAACCGTGCTCATGTTATTTGATCCTTGGTGCTTTTTTAAATATATTTGTTTATAATTTATTATTTAGTATTTTATATATTATTTTTCTCAATTAAAAATATTAAACAATTATTTAATATACGTTGTGTTTAGAACGTTTCCTATATGCGCGTTGAATCAAAAAACGAAAGAAAAATATATCATAACGGATTAAAATATAAATGGGATTTTATTTTTCAGAAATTGAAAGAACAATGAGAGTAATAAAACGACCATCCCACCAGCAGTTTAATTAAGGGAAGGGAAAAAATTCAATGTGCATATGACGAAAAGATAGGAATTATTGAATCGTTTATAATTTTACGGCGAATCATTTTAACAGTCAACTGACCAATCATCAAAATGAACTCTACTACTAAATGGTTACTTAAATCTAGCGTTGCAGTAATCATTATAGCATGTTTGAGTTTCGTATCGTATTTAGCATGCATCAATATACATAAAAATTACATTCTGAGAGTGAGTTTTTTTTTTTTTTTAACAAAATGTATCTATAAATCCTCATTATTAGTTCGTAATTAGTAAGAATGAAGATTTTTAACATGTAACATTTGTACTCTCTCTATTAATATTACGATTAATATTATATTTATTAATTTTAATATTATACAATTTGTGCAGCATTTGATTCTTACGAATAATTCAAAGAATTTCAAATTTTGGTCGGATACGAGTAAATTACCGTCTATACATTTAGACTTTTACTTTTTTAATTGGACGAATCCTGATGAGTTGAATAAACCTGAGGACAAACCGAATCTCGTTCAAGTTGGTCCGTATAGTTTTATGTAAGTATTAGAAAATGAAATCAAATATTGTCTAAGTCAATAGTACTTAAAATTTTTCTATTCTCGGCGCCCCTTGCTGAATCCAGGTTTTTTGCATTTTTTGCAAATACATCTTGCATTATATATTATAAAATATATATTATAAATAAGTTTTTCCCTTGGTTTTATTTGAACGTACATTTATTAATATGAAATAAATGATGTAGCAATCTTATTCAAAATAATTTTCATTAGAATCCATGACTTTTCGACAACTCTCAAACAAATTACCAATATCTTGAAGAATAAATACATTTTCTATAGAAAGCTAGGTAGTCATAAATTCAATTTTTAACTTTTACTTAGTTTCGGAAGCGAGTACCCGAATGTTCATGATACAAAAACCGGAAGATGTAAAAATCTGATGACGTGCATCATTCAAATGATGCAATTGTTGTTTATACAGGTCAGCCGTTACCGTATTTTTCTTGTCAACAATTATCTGAGGCCATTCTGAACGAGGTTGGTCGTCTACATTAAAATACCCACTTTTAAGCCTTTTGAACCACTTTCCACATGTTATTTTAGATACCATATCTTCTGCATAAATTTCATAAATTATTATTTTACAATTCTATGGCATCGATGTAACGCAAGGATACGTTAAACAAAAAGCTTTTGTTTCTTCCGCTTGCTTTTGCTTTAATTTCTTATAATGTAAGAAATATACACACACACACACACATTTTAATTGTATGCTATCAATGCGCATGTTGGCTACGTATGTGGTTATTGATCGCTTCTTAGATAAACTAAACGTAACTATTCAGTAGGACATTTGCATAGATAATAAAAAAGCAATTTATTTATGAAAACAATGAATGTTTGTCTTTTTTTTTAATCATGATAAGAGCTTCGAAGCTGTACTTGTTGCTTATTCGTTCAATCATTATTGAAAAGCAGAAAGAAGATAATTAATGTAACGAATTGTTATAAAAAATATTTTTTAATATCTCATTACAGAGAGATCAGTCAAAAGGTGAATATCACGTTTCATTCAAATAATGGCACAGTCAGCTACTTTCAACGACGATTTTGGTACTTTGATGAAAAACGCAGTAATGGAACATTAGAAGATAAAGTCTCTTTACTTGATATCATCGTAGTGGTGTGTATCCTTGCTATCATTTTTATATTATATAACTTACATAACAATTAATCAACGTGTTTCAGTCAGACGGGAACATAATACGCATGCATCCATACTCCCATAATACAACTTTTTCCTACCATGCTAGTAAACGACGAAACATAAATATAATAGAAAAAGTTGGTGATTTGCTCATTGGATACAAGGATTTTTCATACCTTAAACATTTTAATGATCTTCTATATCTTTCTAAGGTAATATATTTACATTTGAAAATATATTAACGCAATTACAGAAAACTCATTGCATCGATATATTTAATATACGGATCAAGTTGATCAGAATTTATTACGTAATTTTTTGAAAGTTAGAAACAACAAATTCTCGATCGATTAATTATTTTATATTTGAATTTGCCATCAATTTATTACTTATACTAAAATACTTTCTTTTCAGATGAGTCGTTTGACATTTACTTGACGTAGAATATTCATCATTTTTTTTCATTTCTTTTTCTTTTTTTCTTTATTTAGTTTCTTGACGGGTAATAGTCGCCTCGTAATGGAATTATAGATTGCAATAAATTATTCATAGGTCAAGACTTATTACTGTCTTGTGAAGGTTTACATTGAATATTGAATAAAACAAATTGGGCGTCACATTTTGTATTCATTTGCTACATAGCTAATCCAAAAGATGATCTATGTAAAATTTGTGATAATGAAGAATAATATTTTTATTAATTTTTTTGTTAGAAAAACGGTACAGTGGATACAGATAATTTTAATGTCGCCACCGGTGAAAAGAACATTAGTCAATTAGGTCTTTTAAAAAAGTGGAATTATCAGAATACCTCGTCATACTTTGAAAAAATTTGCAATCAAATCGAAGGAAGCATTGGTGACTTCTGGCCTCCAAATCTAATCGATTACGAAATCAAATTATTTATGCCTGAATTATGCAGGTAAGAGAGTTATCCAATCGAAATGATTATTTCATTTGAGAATTATTATGTCAAGGGAATTAAAGATTTTCAACGTTTATAAATAAATTCCCTTTTCTCATTTTTATTCCTTCTTTACACGCGCAATTGTATAATGATAAGATTTTTCTAAATTAAAAAAAAAGAAAATATATATATATCAGAAAAATGTAGAAAACAATGGTTAACGAAAACGTCAAAGTTCTAATTTTTTGTTTTTTTTTTTTAACTTTGTGTTAATATTTTATAATTGTTTTTTTTATTCTTTTATCTGCACAGAGCATTGATATATGAATTTGACAAAACGGCAGATTATATGGGTATAGAGGGCTTTAAGTATACTCTGGGTGACAGAACTTTAGAAAATGATAGAAATTTGTGTTATCTATTGAAAGCACTAAATGATTTTAAAATAAAGAATTCCAATATTGTTTGCGAACCAAAGAATATGATAGAACAATGTTATTGCAGTAAGGAATGCAATCCGATTGGCTTCATTAATATAGGATCCTGTCGTTACGGTGCACAGATGTTCGTCAGTCTTCCTCATTTTTATAAAGCTGAACCTAAAATACGTAATCAAACAGTAGGAATGAATCCTAACGAAGAGGAACATAGTTTCTACATCATTTTGGAGCCCGTAAGTTTTTTTCATATTATTAGATAAGTAATCTTTATTAAAAAGAAATTATAAATGGATGAACAAAAATGTTTACTCGATTGAAATTTTAATCATTCATTTTCTTGATCGATAACATTTAACAATAATTACCATTACAATATAATTATTGTTAAGAAATGATTTTTTTACACAGAATACTGGTATTCCTTTGGAAATAGCAAAAAGATTACAAATCAATTTACTCCTTCAAAGATCGCCTGATATTTCGTAAGTATATTTTAAGCAACAATAAAAAGATAAATTATTTATAATTTAATCAATTAGAGTCAAAAGAGAAAGAAAGCATTTTATTTATTAGTCAAAGTATTTAGTTCAATTATTTATCTTTTCTTAAGGTTTTTCAGCAATATTTCGACGATATACTTCCCAATTTTCTGGTACTCTAAGAAGATAAAATTACCCCAAGAATTAACTTCCGAACTGCAAGTGTTAATTTCATTTGATTCCTTAGTTCTTAAATCATTTATCATAATTACAGTTATAGCAATACTCATATGCTGCTTGGCTACGTGGTATCATCAATTTAATTGTATAAATCATACGGTGAGTAATTTGATTTTTTATTTAATATAGAATATTAATCATTATTTGTCTTTTCTGTATTTTTTTTATTTTTTATTTAACCTGAAATCGTTTAGAGAGTGAATAACGTGACAAACGACATAGGTATGGTTTTATTGAATGACAACTAGCAAAAATTGTTAGGTAGAATGTGCACTATTAAAGTTGGAACTCTCAAGAATGATACCCATGTACTTGAACAAATTGAATTCCGATAAAAATGCTCGTTTTAGATGTAATCTTTAATTTTATCCGAAATTATATCAGAGAATTTTTATTTTTTCTCTACTAATAAGTCATACTTGTGCCTACCATGATCGAATTTTACGATCTATTATTTAAAAATTGTCTTTTATTATAAAAAAAATATTAAAGACAGCGTATTAATCGATCTCAATTTATTTTTTGACCAAATGGAATATTTATCCATACTAATCAAATTATGGTCTTCATTAAATTTATCAAATTTGATATAATTATATAAAAATTGATACACATATGTATTTATATTTATATATATATATATCTAAACATATATAAATATATATATACGTATAAACGTGATACGTATATATGTACATATATTATATAAATGTGTAAAACATAATCTTATCCTATATATGTTGATGTATTAGGTATTGAAATTAATTCAGTGTGTCATAAAAAAAATACTAAATTTATTTTTAAGAGGCATCAAATTAATTTCGTTATGTAAATGCGTAACATATTTTTACATATTTATACATATATATATATACGCATATAGAATCACTTTTTATGCAAAATTTGGAATAATTAACGCGGAAAAATAAGCAATTTCTATAATAACAATTAATTATATTTGCATCATCAAATGTTTGTAAATTGAAAGAACCAATGATTAATCTTCTTTTCATTTGACTAGAAACACTAATATTTTACAATATTATTACTAATATTTTATAAACGATCATTTTCGTATATTTCTTCGTATACATTCTTTTAGTAAAATTTTAAGAATTTAAATCGATTAAGATCGTAAAATTCTATTATTTTTAAATATAAAATAAAAATATTAACAGAAGAAGAGGAGAGAAACAAAAATATCAAGTTGGCAAAGTATGCTTCTTATATAGTCTTCTATATACAGTTCCTAATGATTATAAATGTCCAAATAAAATATTAAATACATTTCTTAATTAAAAATGTCTTTAGACAGCAGACAAAATGTTGACAGAAGGATTTATGCTAATTGTTCGTAAAAATTAATTGGTTATAAATATCTGTTTACGTTGTTGTCCTTTTTTAATTATGAATTGTGTTATAATAACTATGGGAAACTCGTTATTAATAATATGATTTTAATAATAACAATTTTCCTATATATTTTTATTAGTTTTGTAATTATTTTAAATTAATTTTAACTTATATTACTCATTGATAGAAATTTTAAAATTATCTACTGACAAATATCTTTTTAATAAAGTTTCTATAAACTGAAACACAACACTAAAAACAAAACTAAAAACAAAATTAAAAACAAATTTTATTTTATAAAATATANCTATAAACTGAAACACAACACTAAAAACAAAACTAAAAACAAAATTAAAAACAAATTTTATTTTATAAAATATAATATTTATAAATATAATATTTTATAAATTTATAATTATTTAGGAACGCAATGTGTTAAAGGATAAAAATACTACGTTTGCGTATTTGTGACAGACATTATTTTTATACTCTTGCTTTGTCATTTTTACTAAATTTACAAAAACAATCGGATTCAATTTTAATATCTATAATGTATTGCAATTATTCTATTTACCAACGTTTTGCAAACATTAATAATATATTATTCAAATAAGATTTAATGTAAAGTTATTGTGTCTTGTTGTTTAATTTGTTCAAATTTCACAAAACACGATAACTATAATTTATTTGGCATTGAATTTTGTATGACATTAAATTTTAATAAAAAAATTTATCATTTTCATTTGAATCAACAATTTATTCTGTTTTCTCCATAATAGTAGAAAAATATTTTGAAAAAGTGTATGTATCTTGTGAATTCGCTTTTTTTACAATCGATATTTTAAAGTAGCTTCCTGAACTACTTGCAGTTGATAAAGTAAATTACTTCTACATTTATACTTTTACTTAATAATAAACTTTGCAATTAAATAAATGGAACAGAAATTTTTTTATTTTTATAAAATTGTGTTTAAAATATCTCTTATGAAAATAAAATATTTTTTTTTATTCACTTACAAAATTAACAACTTTCTCTCAGATACTTGCTCTTGCTGTTAAAATTTGCAATTACCAAAAGTTTAAATATACTAATTCGTAAGAATTCAAAATAAGCATGTCTGACTTTATTAGCAACTGCACTTTTTTGTCATGAATTTAATAAAATAAAAAAAAACGAAAGAAAATATCGACAAAGAAATCGTAACAGATTATTTCTATACCATTGGACAGTACATAGACATTATAAGCTTTAGCAAGTAGTATCGCTAAGATACTTTTCTATTAAATAATTTAGTATGACTAAGAAACTCTAGCTAAAACCGTCTATATATCCTTCCCGTTTCTTATTTATAAAACCTTCAACTTTATGGTAAGTCTAATATTTAAACGATCACCTACATAACAAAAATCATTATTTTTATTGTTAGTATGATACAAATGTAACGCCATTAATTTGATCTAGCATCACGAAGTATGCTTAATCGTTTCAACATTTCCAAAAAAAATATAAAACGAATGGAATAAATTATTTTTTCTTATTGTGTTAGTTGAAAATAAATGCTCAATAAATCAAAAACAATTAACTAACACACGCATTTGTAAATTCAGCAAATACAGTTATTCTTGCCAAACCTAACCTCAAATTTCTCAACTGAAACGCGTTAAATTATGCAAATATAAAAATAATAAGCCACGTGGAACCCACGCGAGACTAAAGCGAAACTTCATAACTTTTTTATGTTCGTAACATTACTAAATTATTTGATTGTTTATTTATTTATATGAGATGCAAGAGGCTTATCCAATTACATTTGACTAACAAATTTAATAAAATTATGATCTTATAAGATGCGTATTTAAACGGTAAAAAATAGCGCTGGTATACATTAAAATGTCAATTTTCGGAAATATTATAGATATATTATGATGATTAAAAAAAGATTATCAGAAAAATATAAAATATAATAAATAAGTAAAAAAAGAAAAAACGATCAGATGCTTCTAATTTTTGTTCAGTATCGTTTCATTTTAAATGTTGTTTCGTTACGTACATCGTCTATAAAGAAGTTTTACTTAAAAAATAAAAATCTAACATTAAATGTGACAAAATAATAATTTATATAAGATTTTCTGATTTTGTATGCTGTGTGTCATAGTATCAAATTAAATCTTGAAATATATTTACGATGATTTTCGTCTATTAACGTGGTTGAACAATTGATTGAAGACCGTAGTGATCAAGCATACTGATCGAGTAAAGATGTGCACTAGATAGACTCGTTAATTGATGAGACACGTCACCATTACTCTTCTCTCGATCTTCGAAATCTGTCACCTTCTTTTGTTCTCTCTCTCTCTCTCTCTCTCTTTCTCTCTTTCTCTTTATATAGAAGTGGAACATGACCTCGACTGCTAAGCAGACTTTTACGCGCTTTGCGATACGGTCGTTTGCAACGAGAATTGTTTACTCGGAATGTTAAATATGTAAGTAAACGAACGACGTTGTATAAATGCATCGAAACGACCACGTATAATTGTGCATCACTCTTTTGCTCTTATTATATTATATAGCATCATTTCTAATTATGATTAAACAAATAAAATGTCAAATTAATAAAAACCCATACACGTGCGCAAATAACTCATATCTATTTATATATGTATGGCTTAATGATGTATTTATGACCAACAACAAAAAAACACGTTAATAACAAGAATTTCTTTATTCACATAAGTATTTTCAAAACGATAACACCAAAGTAACTTATCGTATAATTGTATGCACATGACGAGATAACAGATCTCATTACTGGCTTATCTTTTGTTTTCATTATTAGATATAAAACTTTTTCTTTATTTTGTTTTTTTTTGAAATGTCAACGCGTACGTAAGTAAATGTTAGAATAACCACTCTTTATCATAGATAGCGCGAAAAATTGAAAGAACATGGATGAGTATTATTGATGCGACCATTAACAATCTTATCGAATATTGAAAAAGGTAGAAAAAAAAAAAAGTTCGAACGCTTGAAAATTCTTTGTAACCATACACAACTAGGAGCTACAAGAGAATGTTAAATAATACACGTAGAAATACCTAGTCGGTTTTCTCTTTGTTTGAAACGTGAACAACATTTATATTGCGGTCGTTTAATTGCACTAGGAAAGGAAAAAAAAAAAAGGAAAGAATAATAAAAAGTAAACAAGCCTTTCATTAATATCTCACTACTCGTTTTGTTATATATATATACGCATATATCTATAGTTTTTAGCATAGTAATTTGTGTACTTAATTACAATGATCTAATGATTCAGGTAATTATTTCCAATGAATGTTGTTTCGAATGAAACAGTAAATATCTAAACCTTCCCTATACGAATTTCCAATTGTTATCATATCATTTATCGATACAACAAGAAGTAGACGAGCTTCAATTAATAATTAATTACGTTTCGTGTGGGAATCTGAAACCACAACCCACCGTTTGTTAATTCGTTAATTTTTATTTCTTTTTTCCTTACGTTAAAAAAAATAACATAAAGGTTAACCACAAAAAGAAAAGAAAAAATACTTTAAATGAAATTATTTATGAACAAATTAACAAATTTTTCAGTTTAGACTTTCGTTATAGCGTTAATAGTTAAAATAAATATTACGAACAAACCGACGTTGAATAATATTTTCTAAATAATACGAATAGAACATTGCTCGTGTTCTCTCTAATTCATAATAATTTCATTAAAATGAATATATTAATAACAAATAAATGATTTGATTATATATTTGAATAGAGGAAAAAATTTACGAAGAACTTCGCAATCAATTTGAAGAGAAGAAAAAAGTTACGAAGAACTTCGCAATCAATTTGAATTAATTGTAAATATAATTGTTAAACAGTTAATAGGATTGCAACTAGTCAGGAAAATCCATTACCTTCGGTCTAACCATTTTTCAATTATTCACCAACTAACTGAAGTTTTCTAATGAAAGGGTGTAAAAGGGAGATGGTAGGACAGTGGTAGAGAGGGCCCATCATTTCGTTTCCTAATACGAGTCTCGTGGCTTTGTTTTCTCTTCTTGTTAAAGGGTTACATAAATACATTAGCGTATAAACGAAAATTGGAACGTCTAATTGTCTCGACCACCCATCCGTTTCGATTACGAGAAGACGAGTTTATTTATTTTTTCTTTTTTCACAAGCCAATTTTTCGAGATCTCTCGTTTCTTCTTTCATCATTCTCAAATGAAAGAGTAAACTTTCATTTTGGTAGACGAAAAAAAGTAGGAACTGACAACTTTTCGTTGTATCAAGAGAACTGCTAGCATTTCACCATTACTTTGGATAGTCTTTTATTTTTCTTCTTTATTTTTTCTATCTTCTTCGTAGGAATACCAAAGATCGTAAAGATTTCAACAAGTCAAGGACGATCCTTCTTACTTAACTTGGCCCATATTTTAATGGATGAAAACATCTTTTTTTTTTTCAACGTTCCTATCGAAATCAAAAGTTTATCTGTTTATTATTTGCTTGTTTGTTAATAATAAACTTAAAAACTTCAAAAAAATACAAATAAAACGTAAGAAGCTTTTAAAAAGCTTAATATAATTGCTACCATATCTACACGCAATGAAAAAAGATATATATATATATAATAGATACTGACACGCAAAATATTTCGCAAACTCTATTAATAACCTAATGTCGTAATTAAACAAAAAAAGGAAAAAAAAAGAATTCAACGTACAATTATGTCATCGTCGTCGTCGTTGTTTTAATAGATCGAGTTAATTAGAAAAAATGGTCTGATGAGGCCTTTATAAAAGGATTTATCGTAACCACGGGAGGAGACCACAAAGTCTCGCGAAAGTTAAAGAGCACCAAAGGGCCGCAATTATGCTGTTAAATAAATAAAACACCCATCCTAGGAAAATTGCGCATAGACGTGGATGACAAGGCGCGAACGCCTAGTTGACTTATTAATCCGATTGACCCGCCATACCAGTACGTAGTCACGAACAATTATCGCATATTTATCTTATTTTTCTTCTCTCGTGTTTCTTTGTCTTACACGACAATATACAAGAATTCCCATAGGATTAAGCCTTCTCATCAGCTTTCTATAAAATTGTCCGGACCTTTTGTCATTACATTATTCTCGAGTGTTTGCCCAAGGGATTCAATAAAAAACAATAGTAAAAAAGTTAAAAAAATAATAACAGGGAAGAAGATTCGTAGAGATTAGAAAATTAAAGTTTGTTCATTTTATCTTGCTTTTTTTTTATTTTTTCTTCTTCTTCTTTTTATTTTCAACGAATTAATCCAATCGATGAGAATAAATGAGATTAAAAGGAGAATCGTATCTATTTTAAATGGAAACTAGAAATTCCATACTTGTTTTATAAATGGTAATAATAAAATGAATATAAGTATTTCCATAAATTAATGAAATGCGGTTTGCTGTAGCATAACTAATATTGACATATCAAATCCAAATAGTTGAAGTCGAATATTTCGCTAAAATGCCGTATTTCTTATTCATGAATTCATTGAACCACCGGGAGGAGGCTAAGGTCTTGCGCGTTGAACGTGTTCCTCTTTTATTTTCCGGACTATTCGACCCGAGAGACACGATATAAGTATAAGGGTGAACGTAAGTTACTTTATATATAATTTCAAATTATTTAATAGTACACACGAGAAATGGCAAACAGCACCATATTCTTTTAACCTATGAAATAATATTACTTTGTTTTATTTATTTATTCGTAAGATGTCAAGACAATAAAAATATATAGAGTAGGTTAGCAATTAGCAAAAAAATCGCACTCAACTTTATTTTTACCCCTTTTTACTCTGACCGATCAAGGAACGAACCCCCCTCTCTCTCTCTCTCTCTCTCTCTCTCTCTTGACAGATGTTTAACCCTTCTATTTTCTTCCTCGAGAACGACCCTTACACGTCGCACTTGTGTTTAGGGTTCCGTCGAATACGCCGTCTAACACATGTCGCACGCACGAGTGCAATTTTAGCGAAAAAGAACCGAAGAGTATTAACCTAGGGGGTTGTTGTCGAACCCATTGTCTAACGCTAATAACAACATCGACTCGCGACACACATTGTCTGGAACCTTCCTTTCAATATTCTTTCGAAAGAAAATTCACGTCAGTCTAATTCGAGCTCGCGAAACATTTTTCATTTAACGTAAACGATTTTATTTGATTTTATTTTCTTCGAGCTCGGATATTTATTTTCTTCTCTTTTTCTATTTGCTATAAATCGTTTAATAAATTAATATAATATATTGTATCATTTTTAAACTAACCCCTTTTACACGAGTTAGAGTCACTTATCTACGAGCCCCTACCTTCTCAAGCTTATCTAATATTATCAAAGAGGTCGCATATTTTTTTTACTCCTTGAAATTAACAGCACACAATTTCGGTTCATCCATACATACACTTTATTAACCATGCACACGTTTCTTTGACCTTAACGATCTGACTGAAACTAGTATATAATCCAACCAATAAGTTAATATTCAAAAATATAAATTCGACAAACTTTAAAATATCCATTAATGCACACATTTACGAATTAATATAATAATGAAATAATCCTCCCCGATAAAAAAAAAACATATATATATATATTAAAAATATTCATCGAATCAGCCGACGAAGAGGGGTGTGGGGTGGGAGGGGAGGTAGAATAGTATTTCTGTAAAAATTGTTTTCCAAAGGAATGACTCGGTTCAATTTCGATCGACGAAACAAATGGAAAAAAGAAAGAAAAAGAAATAAAATAAAAAAAGAAAATAGACAAGATCAGTTACGCTAGAGCAGAAGAAAAGCTTGAGGAGAGTAGGTCGTGTTAGTGGTAGGAAAGAACGGAACGGAACGGAACAGAACGGAATGGAACGGGATTAAGTTCACTCGTAATCCATCGGAACTCACTCCGATACTTTGCTCTGCAGTCGTCGAGGAATATCTGTCTGCCTCTTGGCCTTTCTTCCTACAATTCGTTCGAATCGCAGATGTCGGACACATGCGATGCCTCGAGGGATCTCCGGTGACGGAAGATAACCATTCCACACATAAATGCTAACACACAGAGAAAGAAAAAGAGAAAGAATGAGAAAAAGAATAAGAGAGAAAGAAAGAGAGAGAGAGAAAGAGAGAACAGAATCCTTCTGTGTTGTACATCGATATCTGCCATTCGAGCTCTTTTCACTATCTGTGGAAAAAGCTTTGGCTCTATTTTTCGAAAAGTTTTTTCCTCTTCTCTTCTCTTTTCTTCTCTTCTCTTTACACGTCCGTGATTTTTCCCGCTTACTTCCCTTGTCTCTCGAATTTTTCTTTTTCCCCCTTTTTTTCCTCTCATCCATTCTTTCCTTTTTCTTTTCTTTTCTTTTTCTTTTTCTTTTTTCTTCTTTTCTTTCTACGCTTTACGAATAGAAAAAGATATACAATATTTGTGTTTTTTAACGTCGTATAGGGGAAAAGAACAAAAAAAAAAAAAGAAAAAAGAAACATCGACCGATTAACGAATGCAATTAAAATCGAATACGATTAATGTCGAGAAGTCCTTGTGAGTCACACGTGACTCATGTATATATAGAGCACGTGTCATCGAATGCTTATTTCACGCGAGTCTAAAACCAAACTGTTCTTCGCGAATCGCGAATGAATTGCGACGGAATGTGTGTGTTTTTTTTTTGTCTTTCTCTCTCTCTCTCTCTCTCTCTCTTTTTATTTTCCTTTTTTATTTATATCAACGATTACGAAACCCAACAGCTTTTCCATTGACATCGTACGTAAACGATCACAATAAGCGATACCAATTTTTCCATTCGAATCGATTGTACAACCAAACTCGCTCGATAATATACACCTTGAGGAAGAAAACTCGAATACCCACGATAATCTCTTCTAGATATTTTGAAGATAAAATATAAAAAAAATCAATCTAATCGCAGATAGAAAAAAAAAAAACAATTCTTTTGCCAAACGAGAGGTAACCCATCGTACCGGTTTGCATTTAAAAACTCATGCCACATCTAACTATGAGAAAATCGAAATTCGTATAACGTGCTTGTGTGTACGAATAAAGAAACGGTTCGTTCCCTTGTCCCCTTTGCGTGTTTCAAACCAACCGGACGTTAGGCGTACAGCTTAGGGTCCCGTTTAGGGTGGCCCTGGAGGACCCCGTTTGAACACGTGTGCGCATAGTAGATAGCCTAGTTGGGGAAGTATAGGATGAAGGGAAAGATTCGTGAGGGAGAAGGAGAGAAAAAGAGAGAAATAGAGAAAGAAAGAGGAAAGGTATACAGATGACAGATGCCAAAAGCATCGGTGACGTTGGCAATGCTGGTAAAAACGCACTTTTGACGCGCCTAGAACGCTGGTATTATCGTCTGCGCGCCAGGATTTCAACGACGATTGCTGCTGCTCGACGTGAAACACGCGGTAAAGAGAGAGAGAGAGAGAGAGAGAGAGAGAAAGAGAGAGAGAGTAAGAGAGAGAGAGAGAGAGTGAGAGAGCGAGAGAGAGTTCAGTCGTTTCGTGGCTGCCGAGTTGACCGGGCGTGTCGTATCAGAGTTCTCCTTCTCAACAAGCATTTCGCGCCGGTTTTCCGTATTTCACCTTTTTTTTTCCCCCTTATCATCGTTCTCTACTTATCGTCTACAAATCTTTTTCCACGTTTCGCCAAACTTTCTGAATGAAAATTACCGGAAGAATGGATTGTACGACGTTCGCGAAGATTCTCTCGTTTCTAACGCTGATACGTAAGTTATTTCCCCCATTTGAAAATTTTCTCAGAAGAATGTAACTCTCTCTTTATATCTCAAATTTAAATCCTGATTTTATTTTCATTCTTTTCTTTTTCTTTTTCTTTTTTTCCTATCTTTTTTAGTATTATATTATTCGAAATTTTTATTCATTTATTTTGAATATTGAAATATACGGGATTAAAAGTGTGTGCGTGTGTTGTTTGATCGATTTAGATCCATGAGAAATGTCATTCGTTAATCCGAAACTTAATAACTTCGCGTGTTTACGAGCTATTTCTATTCGTTCCTGGAGTGTAATTTTGAAAATTGTTCGTTTCATTGAACGATTAAACGACGAAAAAATATAATGTATATATTATTAACTTATTCAGTATTTTATTATTATTTATTTATTAACTATATAATTAGAGGAATGAAAGATAATTTCATTCGTCGTGCCTAATATTTATCGAGAATTTTGTGATCGGAACGATGCGGAATTTAATGGAAAATGTGAATAGTTTCTAAATCTAATGTTATTTAGTTTTTACGATCGAAATTTCGAAATCCGAAACGTTTCGGGTTTGCCTTTTACGTAAGTAATGATACAACTATACACGATACGATACGATACGACGAGCTTCCCTGTCGTGTTTGTTCGTTAAATATTTATTTAATATGCGTTAGAACGGATACGGGGAAACAAGGAGGAGAAGGGGAGATATATTCGGCGTACGTGCTTTCAACGTATTACAGCTTCCACTTCGCGATTACTATGCGAAAGAGGATGGTGCAATAAACGACGATACCGTCATCAAAATCACATAGGGTAGATTTTGATCTTAAAGAAAGAAATATGATGAATGAACGATTTCCGCTTAACGACGACGACGACTACGTCGACTATTCTCTCTAACGACAACACGATCATTCTCTCTATAACTATCTAAAACTTATGGGAAACGTTGAAACAGGATTTTCTTTTCCTTTTTTCCTTTCTTTTTTTTTTTTTCTTTTTTTTTTTTTTTTTTTTTTTTTTTTTTTTTTTTTTTTTTTTGTTAGCACTCAAATCACGTTAACAAGCACGACGCTTTAACGGTTCGTAAAAACGTTCGGTGAATTTATTTTTCACGAACGATAAAAATCCTTCCCTTCCTTCCTTTTTCTTTCCCCTATAATTTTTTTCCCCCTCCTTTCCGATTTTTCTTCTTTCCTACCTTATGTTTTATTTTTCTTTAATCTCGCTTTTCTTTTTCTCGTGCTTACCTACCGACTCTTTATCAAGATCCGCAAAATCTCTACGTCGAGGTGAAATACGAAGGAGTCGTTTAAATTTGATCTTGTGGAAAATTTTTTAAACCCATAAACCCAACCACCAATCTACCTACCTACCTTTACATTTTTCGATAGAAAAATATATAAGATAAATGAAAATATGTTCAAAGTTATATATCTATATAACAAGTTGTTTATCGCGACCTTAGAACTAAGTACATGTATATAATATAAGATAATATACATATACATTATGTTATAAATGCGAGTCACATGAAACGTAGGGTACCTATCGTGAAATTACTTACAAGTTTGACCTACGGCGTTTAAGTTCAAGGCAACAAAGGATTCGCACAATGGCTTCGTTCGAACTGATCGGAAAACTTCGAGCTACGTTCCGAGTTACAAGTTACTTAAGAAAGGTGGTGTACTTTTAAAATGATTATGGACTTTCTTGATAAAAACGATTTTTCATTGACGTATAACAAAAAGAATCAAAGAAAAAGAATCAACTCCTTTATGTTCCACGGTGAAAAATAAAAACGAACTTATGATATCGCGATTCGTTCCTTCTTTTCGTAAAAATAGATTAGCAATGTGTCCGTGGTCGCTTAAATGCGTTAAAGTTACATGCCTTGCGAAAATAGTACGAAAATAAACTGTTTTTAACGTTCCTTTGCCGGATCTACAGGCACTCGAAATTCTAAGAAAACGCGAAATAACTCGACAGAGAGAGAGAGAGAAAGAGAAAAAGAAAAAGAAAAAGAAACACAAAAATAAGAAAGAAGAAACATAAAATGTTGCTTTGAATGAAAATTTCAAGTCATTCGCTAGATGTCAAATGAAAAAATAATCTTTAATGCGAATTTCTTTTCATCGTATAGCAAAAGGCTATACATATATATATATACTTATCAGAAATATTAATCTCTAATAATAGTTGTCATCTCGTGAAAAAAAAGAAAAATAAGGAAAAAAAGAAATGGAACAATAATTCGTAAGGAAAACTCGATCAACCGAAAATCCTAAGAAATATAACGACCGTTCGATTACGTGATTGCTCGTTGACGTTCTAATACATATATGTATATATATATATATACCTGCTAATGCTCTAATGCATTTCATTTATCTATTTTTGTCGTGGCTCGCCTATCTATCGATTTTCTTTGTTTCTTAGGTATGAAACGATATCTCATTAAAAAATTCCGCAAGTAAAAGCTTTAAGATTAATAAACCGCATCTTCAACGTTCCTTTTCCAAGTTTATCGTAAATGGATAGATAAGCCGTAGAATTCATCAACTACACGTTTGTTTATGTTCTTATCACTTACTTAGGATAACTTAACTCAAAGATTTCTGATCGTTTTACGAAAGATCGATAATCATCCTTCAAATAATGCGTTGTGTGCATACATTCTTAAATAATTCAATGATAATAAATAAATTACACGAAAGTACGCAATAGAAATTACAATTTCAAGAATATCGATTTGATGAATAATAATCGATCAATATCGACGATAGTGTTTAATCGAAGCTTTGTAAACTTTTATTAGAAAAATTACAATACCGACTGAAAAACTTGCGGACAGTATTGAAACACTCTCGTTTGCGTTAGAATTTCAATGTAGTTCAAAGTTTGAAATGAAAGGTATTAAAAAATCGATAAGCCGCTTGGTATACATTTATTTTTTCGCACATTTTTTTTTTTTTTTATTTTCAAGAGATAGTGTCGGTGATGCCTAAATGTAGGTCGGGCCTTGTTCTTCCTCGTCGTGAATCTAAAAAAAAAAAAAAGAAATAAAAAGAGAGAGTGAGAGAGGGAGAGAGGAGGAGGAGGAGGGAGGAGGAGAGGTGGAAAAATAAGACCAAGACAAACACCGTGAACGTTAACGAGAGTAACCTGGCTACTCTAATTAAGAAGCAAACACTATCTCACGACTAGTCGTTAATCCTATTACCAATGGTGTGCCCATCAGAATTGAGTAATTAAATTCGAAGGAAAATGAAAAGTGCGTGACTCTTTCGATATAATATTATATCAACTTTATCTTGGTAATTTCGAATATTAAGAGTAGATGAAACGTTAACGAGATACGATCTTTTTATTTTCTTTTTTTCTTTTTTTTTTTTGTTCCTTTTTTTTTCTCTTTCCACGCTTGTATACGCATACATAGATCTACGTATAACACGGATGCGCGCAAAATTTCTCGTATCGTAGCATTATTTTGTAACGATTCGGGAAAAACGGTGACGCGAATAATCGACCAAATGGAAATCAAGCGTAAATGGTACACACCAATTTCGAAATGATAATTTCGCACGGTTTGTTAACTCTTCTCGATCGAATTATCTATAAAACGCATGACGCATGAACGCCGCGAGCTCAAACGACTGCTTTATTATTATTACGGTACATGGTACAATATCTATTTCATTTGTGTTTGTCCTCTTTATTAATCGTAAATCCAACTATAAAGGAGTTTTCGGTTAGAGTCCACAGTGATTTTAACTCTTATCTCGCATAAACGATAAACTGAATCACACCGTTCGATATACCGCGATATTATTCATTAGGGAATATCACTTGACAAAACATTCCGGAATTATTTTTAACGAGAGAATATGAACAATTTGAAAAGCTAAAGAAATAAAAATAAAATAAAACGAGTATAAAATACATAATTCCGGTCATCGCTTAAAATGACAACGGAATATTTTTCTTCTTCTATTTCTTCTTCTTCTTTATCTTTTTTTAATTGTATCAAGTGTGTTGGAACCTGCGTTGCAGTTTGTCTCTACGCATTAATTACACCTACCAAGATAATTACAACCAGCCTTGTGAAAATGTATATAAATATATATATATTCGTGTTACTAACTTCATTTCTTCTTCACCGTTTAATTCTCCAAAGGAAGAAGAAAGCAAGATACAAGAAAGTATTATTATTGTTCTCGTAAGTCGACAATCCTACAAGGAGAAAGTTACGTTTCTATTGGGATTGCGCGATTCGGATCGTATTATGGTTCCGATTCGAAACGTTGAAAGTCGATATTGGTGGTGTGACACCTTTTAATTTGCGGTCTGAAATGAACATTTTTTTGTTGTTTTTATAAACGGATATTAAAATCCGTACGACATCATAATTTATATCTCCTCGAACAAAGTTATACATAGATTTCCGAGCAACGTGTATCGTCAACCGGTTGTGTCAAACTTGAATGATCTATCAGTCGGTAGCATTCTTACGTGACAGAAATTCATTATTTTCTTTCGAGCATTAGAATTCATGGAACCTTGTTTAGACCTCGACTATTTTATATTCTTTCACTGGCCATTCTCTTTACAAAGATTATTATGCTCTTCATCCTCCTTACGCTTGTCAAGTTCAAACGGAGATTGATGCCCCGTGAATAACGTCGAGTTATTACACGAAAAAATAACACGTCTACAAATTCTCGGCAAGTATTAGGCGTAGGAAATCATTCCGATGTCTTGGTATCAAATTTATTCCATCAAAATCATTATATTTTTTGTTCGTCAAGGAATTCAACAAGTTGACTGTGAATTATGAACCAAAGTTATCCAAAATAATGATGCATATTATTTCGATAAATAACAAACGTATGTGATTAATTTGCAAATAAATCTTATATTTGTTTTCAAAAGTATCAAATTAATTGTTATATATACGTTTAATACTTGTACGTATTCATCAGAAAAGAAAAAGAAAGTAATGTACAAAATGTATGGAATAATAATAAAAAATTAAGTTGAAAAGAAAAAAAAAGAAACTCGTGGCGTGGGCTCGTATGATTGCAAATTAAAAATGAATGGAAAATCATTTTCCAAGGAATTTTAATGTATCGTCTATACCTCTATAATATTAAACTTCCTCTTTTGCGACATAATGTAAATTGCATGACGCAGCGTCTCATTGTACGGAACGGAAATATCGTCCGTAAATATCTCAAACGTCGACAAGTTTAGTCGACAATTCACAGACGAGTCCGACACCTCGTATATACTACATATAAATACATAAACTTACATACACTAACACATATACATAGCGATCATTATCCGCTCGGTACGTTGTACACAAATCGATTAACACATTTATCATTTACCTTATCCTATCTCCAACAACTCTCGATTTACAATGTTTAAGAAATGCCAATTTTCTAAGCAATGTTAACACTTGTTTTTACTATAAACAACGTAAACGCAAAATTTCAACTATTCGCGAAACAATGTTCCTCGTTAGTCCCTCACGCAAAATCATCTCGAATACGGATTTTGAAAAGAAGAACGAAAAATCATTCTGGATCTAACTTTTATTACACGCTTCACTGTAATTATCGTTAATGGCTTACGTTCTTATGCATAGATCGTAGCTCGCTTTCCTTTCGAGTGGCAAGCGAAATCGGTGGAATTGAATATTCATGCGAGAGTGCAATACCTTGCTCCTTCTTTGATAAGATCGTAGTCGAGTAGTCGAATTAAATACTTCATGCGAGAATATATTAAAGAAATGGAGAGAAGAAGAAGAAGATGAAAAATATGAAGAAAAAAAAAAAATAAATAAAAAAGAAAAAAGTCAAACGAAACTTTACGATCTATCTATTAAAGATTCGAAATCGTACGAGAATAGAATTAGTATTACATGGAAAATACACAAACAAAATATAACTCGAGAGATTATTAGTAAAAGATATACTTGTTAGATAGAGTTAGATAATTTCTATTTGTAATCGTTAAAATATACAACGTTTAGAGAGAAACTTTTCACTATCAAAGAAATACCTTATCAGCATTTGCCTCGAGCAAACGTGCTAAAGAAGGGAATGGTATTGGACAAGAACCCTTACTAATATAATCTACCTATTCGCATCGAGCTTTGAAAGTTCATCGAACAAACAACATCAAAGAGTGGTGAGAGGGGGTTGGGGAGGGGTGGGGTGGGGGGCAAGATGTTAAGTTCTCATAATGTAAGAAGCATTTCGAATCAATGCAAGCCGATTTCCTTGCTATTCCTATTCCCATTGAAGTACTCTAAAAGCGAATCGTTCATCGGCCAATACGAATTTGGAATGTCTGCACTGTGCTAGTTAGCAAGCATTACTGACTTCTAACCGGTGCTATCTCGGAATAGCGTTAATAACATAAAAAAAAATCCCTTTCACCTTGACACGATTGTAAATTAAAAAAAGATTCGTTTCAAATTCATTCGTTCATTTTTTCATTTTATAATTTGCTTCTCTGATTCATACAATTGCAAACCGTTCTTGCAAATTCTCGGAATTATTATTCTACAAATAGAATACAACTTTTACCGTTAGGTTTCAACTAGATTTCTCTCTCTCTCTCTCTCTCTTCGTGACAAAGTACCGATTGTGTTTTAACAATTAGAACGAAACTAGAATCTTTTTCTTCTTCTTTTTTTCTTTTTTTTTCTTTTCTTTTCTTTTCTTTTTTCTCTATCTATCATCTATCCTTTCTTACAATTAATATTTCAATGCAATGTGTCTTGTTGAAACGTTCGCACGGATCGTAGAATGGTGAACAGCACGAGAAATCGAGCGATAAGAAAAAATCTGTGGAGGGACCGGTCTCTAAACCTCCTCTCTCTCCCCCTGCTCCCCTACTCCTTCACCAGCTCCCCACTGCCCCTCTTTCTCTCACGTTTTCCATCGCGAAATAGACCGGTCGTTGCTCACTGAGAGAATACTGTGCGTGACCGCTCGACCGGAAATGGGTCACTCGTGGCCATTGTGGCGGGAACGCGTTTCATACCGATCTATTCACAAGGGGAAAGAGGGAATTCGAACAACTACCATTTCAAGGGTTAGAATTCTACGGTATGATCGAGAAAAATATCGCCTAATGGGATTCCCGTAAATGAAGATTTTTATTGGAATTGTTAAAGAAGTAAATTCCGATAAAATACTCTCACTCGATTCTTCTTCCATAAGATTTTGAATATATTATTCTTTGATATTGTTGTTTAAGAACACGATGTGTTTTATATTGTTATTAAAAATAAAAGAATCATCGTAAAGCTTTTTATTCGTATAAAGGAGATATCTATGATATACGCTTTTAAGAAGAATTTAGGCGTTTTATACGCGATCTCTTCCAATACGGCAAAGTTACTTCTACTTTGGAAAAATTCTTTTCTGCTTGTATACGATAAAGTCGAGAGGAGAGAGTAGTTCAGGGTTGGGGTTGGAGTTGGGGTTGGGTTGGGTTAGGGTGGCTTTGGAGAGACTAGGTCGAGAAACTACAGCTGACTGAAATTTGCGAGGCTGAACCGATACGATAGAACGTGCATCGGATATCGACGAATGGTGAATATCGGTAATCGTTACTTAAAGGGTGCCAAAGGGGTTGATAGAAGGGGTTGACTTTCTTAGAGTAGATTCCAGAATCTCTCTTGGGATTCTATTTCATGCATTGGTAAATCGATCGATGGGAAAATAACGTGATACCAGATGTCATTGATAAAATTTTCAAAATGATTTATCTGGTATTTCGGTTAAATTAACTTCTTCGTTATTGATGTGTACAATTTTTGATAACACGATTGAAATTTGCATAAATTAAAAAATAATATCTTCTTAATGTTTAAAGAACAGTATTTGTTCTCATTCCTATATACGTTTCTGTTTCTACGTTTAATTCCGTGAAAGAAAATTCATAAGTTTCGGATCAGTTGGTGCGGATTTCACGAATGCAACTTTACAAAATTCGTTAGATTTTTGTATATCACGTAATGTCATTCAAAAGCTTCGTTTTGCGCTTTCTCTGAAGATATTTAATAACCTTTTTTATATTTTTTTTTAAATATTTAACGCGTGTTAAATAAAAATACAGGAATTAAAATATGTGCAAAATGAAATTTTTCTTCCTTGTGTGGATAGAGAGTGTAAAGAAATAAAAATAATAAAATACTGGAGGGAAAACCATTACTCGGTCGGAAAATTCGGATAAAAAATTACTTTAGTTCGTGGAATCGGGAACTAGAACGAGAATTATAATAATTACTTTTCTCGAGAACATCACGAGCCGTGGGTAATATACTCTTCTGAGAAACAATACCGATGAGAGATCGTACAAAGCGAGAGCGAGGGATGTAAATACGTGAATACGTACATAGATACATCGTGCAAATGAAAAGCAGGTCGACAGCTCCAAAAACATACGCTGTTACTTTTCGACTGGTTCGTTAGGATTTTCTTGTTTAAATCAAGTTCAAGTTCAAATGTCACAGCGGAAAAAGAAAAAAAAAAACAGAAGAAAAATAAAAAAAAAATGAGTGATTTATCGTTTAATTGAAAACTATGCTCTTTTCTCTCAAAAAAAAAAAAAAAAAGATGATTCTTCGTTTCGAATTAAATGCTCGGTTTGAAAATATCGTTCATCTCGCGATTACTAACTTATAATAGAAAAAAAAAAAAGAAAAAGAAAAATCATCGTGTACAACGATCATATAAAGCGACATATTATTCTCTTGAAGATGAATGTAGAATATAAAAAACGAAAAAAATGGAAAGAAGGAAGGAAGGAAGGAAGGAAAATAATTGAAGAGAGTAACGAGTTGGTAAGGATGATAACGAACGACCATGATTATCGATCGAGTTCTCGGACACAATGAGAGAAAGAGAGAGGGGGTGAGAGGGAGAGAGAGAGAAGTCCTCCCAATGTGGTGGTAGTCGAGCTACGAGCGAGAGGATTCTCTTCTCCACCCCAAGTCCTCCCGAGTTTCGTGCCGCGAGGAATTCTCGGTCTGTTCAATTATGGAACGGCTCTGTCGAATATTGGGTCAAAGGTCGAGGGGTCTCGAGAATACTAATGCGGAAGGTCAAGTCTCGCGCGAGTGAGGTCATAACGCGACTATCATCGTAGTTAAGATGAAGATGTTCACCCACACTATGAATAATAATATGAGAGAGAGGGAGAGGGAGAAAGATGAATAAGGTAAACGCAAGACTATTATTTTCTTTCTTTTTTTTTGTTTACAGAGTTTGTCATGTGCGGAATAGCACCAGACCCGACGACCTTCTTTCCAGATATCAAAGGTAATCTGACCAAGATCGTCTGGGCTCATGCAGTCAACAGCAAAGCAAACCTTACAAAGGCACTGACCGCAGGTAAGTTTCTTATTCTCTCATTATAGAAAAATATAATATTATTTAAAATCGATTCGCAAAAATATTATTACGCCGAGACAGAAATGGAACACACTATTACTATCACCACTATCACCACCAACAACAATCACTACCAACAAGAGTACTTACTATGACGACGAACGATCGTTTTTATCTTTATTGTTCTTTTTATTTTCGTGCACGGGTTTAAAAAGAAAAAAAAAAAAAAAAAGAAAAAATTTTTGAAGGACGTATATCAAAGACGACGATAGAAGAGATCGATTTATTGGCTTGTCGATATACTTCTATCGGTGTACAAGTTAATCGAGCTCGAAATAATTACCGTGTTATATGACGGTAAATCTTTGTTTACCGTAATAGTCCACTTTCTTAAACCTTTTTATAAACTCGACTGTTAACGCATTCGCGTCACGGTTACTCATTGTTGTTCTATTCGTATAAGCAAGAATTAACGCCATGATGATGACGGCAATATGAGATTTAGAGAGAGAGTGTTAGAAAAAAAGATATAGAGAAAGAGTGAACAAAATATATAAAAAAAAGAAAAGGAAAAAGCTTTTTGAATATTTTTCTTCAAACAAATACCATTTTTAATTTATTTTCGTTATGTCAGCGCAATTATCCGCCAGTGACAATGTTCATTTATAAAATATCTCGTCGAGAAAATTCGATAATTTCGTTTTACGTGTAAACAAATAATATCATAGCGTTCACGGAACGTATAACAAATGTTTTCAATGGAATTAATTCTTTAGTGACACGATCTATTCGAATTTAATTAACCTTTTTCGGTCCGTCGCGTTTGTGAAATAATGTTCTCCACCATCTCATGGATGACATAACGCATCGTTGACAACTCGACATTGATCGTACGATGATCGAACACTTACGATGCTCGGATACGGGCTATTCCTATCTGACATTTTTACATTTTTCGACGTTTTACAAACACGCTCTTCCCATTTGTCAATAAATGTTCCACTCGTACGTTGTTGAAAAAGTTAAAATGTCTATAAAACCGAACGGAATGGGACAGTAAGAATAACATTGAATTAAAACCTTGATCGAGAATGCATTGAAATTTTTGACCTTGAGACATGGATACCGCGAGAAAGTAATTTTAAAGTAGACAATGGAACCTCGAAGATGTAGAGTACGAATAAGAAAAGGGTTAGGGCGTTTCCCTTCTTTTTCTTTTTTTTTCTTGCTTCCTCTTTTCTAAAGACGACTTAAAAGTCTCATTTAACAATGCGAAAAAATAGAGAGAGAGAAAGAGAGAAAGTAGCGAATGTCGTCGTGTCGACTCACAGCCTCTTTAGGTGTGATCGATATTCGTTACACGTGTGCGCGTTTTCCGTTTCCCTCTTGCTTATACTTCCGTCTTTACATTTATATGTATACACACATATACACATATATATGTATCTCCTTTTTCACTAAGTTTCTTAGAGTCGTCGTAGTTTATATGTATTTTGCACACATTAAACGTAGATACTTTTTTAAAGACGACATCATGATGCTCGAAGCCGACGTGGTATTAGGCCACCTGACCAATTCCACAAATACCAATATTACTATACCGATAATGGCTCATCCACCGGAAACGGAAAGTGATCTATCTCTGGAAGAATTCCTCACGAGTGTTCTTCATAATGGTACCAAGGGTATAAAACTAGATTTCAAGAGTATCGAAGCATTCGATGGCAGCAAGTCAATCCTTGCAGATAAACGAAAAGAGGTATGTATCAAGTATAGAATGCTACAATAGAATCAAAGAGCGATACGATTTAAATATTTATTTATAAGCGCGTGTGAAATATCGACTATTTCAAGGTAAAGCTTGGTATATGAATGTTTTCGAGTTGACAGAACGTACATCTACTACTGTTCAAAATGACAAACATTTCGTGTATAGATACAACTCGTATCGATCCAGAGACTCTTTGCTTATTTTTTATTCCTTCCTATATACATATATCTATAACTATATAAAGGTATACATGTATATATATATACTGTATATGCACTTACGTAGGTTACAAACGGCATGGTTTATAAAATATGTAGAGACTTGTTGAGAAAAACTTGAAAGAGAACAAAGGACATAGATTGTTAATAGTAATTTTCTCCTCTTATTGTTTTTCAGTTCATCGTTCCTTTGTTCTTAAATGCCGACATTCTACCTGGACCAGTCGATGCTAAAACAACTCCGGTCGATCCTACGTCATTCTTGGACAGTGCAATCAAAACTTTTCCAGATAGCGTCTTATCCGTTGGTTGGACAACCAGGTAAATCCAGAAATATTTTATTTGAGTCGATTGATGCATCTCTTGCTGGTGTGTGTGTGTGTGTATAGTAATAAATTATTTATTATTTTTAACATTACTATTGATTCGATTATCATAAATTAAAAAATTATAAAAGTATTCTTAAGAGAGTGATACTCGAGATTATTTTTCTTTATCTTTTAGTTCTATTCTCTGATGTTGCGAAAATCCAAAAGAAATAAAGAGATAGTTAGATAGGAAGAAAGAAAGAGAGAGAGAGAGAGAGAGAGAGTTCTTTAGAAAAGGAACTGTGAAAATGTAAATACATACACGTTCAAGTTGCACGAGCGTAAATGAGTTTACGTTCACCTTCACCTTTACCTCTATTCTTATTCACTAACGTAAAATATGAGAATATGAATAAAAGAGAAAGAGAAAAAGATATACCAGAAGGCACGGTTTTATGTGAAAAAAAAAAAAAAAAGGGGAACACAATCAAAAGAGATAGGCCCGCGGGAAGAGAGATTTTAACTGTCTTTAGAATTTGCAATGAAATGAATGTATAAACCCGAACGAATAAAAGCGTACAGGTTTAGATCAAAATGGTGTCACCGAATGGAAAGATCTTTCTTGTATTAAAGGAACAAAATTGATTTCAATATAAGAAAGAACGTATTATTCTAAAGATTTACTGGCAAATACAACCAACAACAACAATAATAATAACAAAAGACCATATATTTTATTTATATCTTTTGTTTTTTATTTTCAGATACGGGTCAGAGTCCCACATAACCGAAGGCCAGTATACGGAGGAACAAATACAGAAAATGGTAGACACATTAACAAAGAATAAAGTTGCTCAGTCGGTAACTTATCCAGTGAGAGCGGGTCTAGCTGCTAATGACATTAACGTCATGAAAACGTTGATAGATCGCAGCTCAAGCTTTAGCAATGCGACTTTGACCATTTGGTCAAGCCAAGGCGATAAAGTTGACACGAATAAACTGACCGAATTGATAAAAACAATTGGCATTGATAAGGTCTACGTCGACGTTCCCGAAGATGTTTGGAGCAAGCTCGACTTATCCAATGGTTCCGCGACCTTTAACACCGCTATGATGACCATGATGACGCTTATTTCATTCCTCTTCGCCAGGATGCTGTGAAGCGATTTATGCGACGATCAATCGCGATTCTTAGAAAGAATACAATTTAACAAGAAGCGAGCATCTTCGTCCATTTTGGACTAATTCAAAAAAAAAAGAAAAAAAAGAAATAATGAATGCTTTAGATCTCGCTTCTTCGCTTTCCGTCGATCAATTTACGAGATCGTTCATCGAAGTAACTTCGTCACTTCTATTCCCATTTTTTTAAACGCGAGATCACACTCAATCCTTTTCTCAATCTCAGATTCTTCGTATTATCCTTCATCGTCATTTTATTCTTTATTTTTATTTTTACGTACGCCCATAAAAGAAAAAAATAAATAACAAATATAATATACACGAATGATTTTCGAAGAAAATCTTACGAATATGTGTCGTAAATCAATTAACAAAATGAGATCAACCACACTTAAAACACATAACCGCGCACATACATACATACACATACACATACGTACGTAACACAATTCCTTTCGCTTATAAATATTAATAATAATCGATTAGTAGGGATAACTCACTCATAGGACTAGATGCACAATTTTATCGCGAGTATACCGTTTTATACATTTAACAAATGAAATTCATTTTCGAATCGATTAAAATTCTCGTCGTACGATTAATAAAAATCGCATGCCTAAATTATTTTCCGATATTATCGGGAACGGTTTAATGATGTTATTTCAAAATTGTAATTCCAATTAAAATTATAACCGTAAGAATTGCAATCTAATTTTTATTATGCCGATTAAGGAAATAACGTGCTTTAACTCTAGATAATTTCATTTTTAATATGACACAATATGTAAACAATATATTGAGAAAGTTTCTCATAAGTTAAATTAACATTGCCTATTATCATGTTCGTTTATTAAACGTATCATAATTTTCTCTCGCAAGATTACGCTAATAGTAAGATAAGAAATTATACTTCTTTCTAGTACGTAGGAATTATTTGGACTAATTTTAACATTGAGCTCATTATTCGAAAGAAAGATTATTGAATTTTTCGTTTCTGTTAGTGTAAACGCTCAAATTTAGTACTTTAATCAATTGATCTTAAAACATCTTTGATATTCTGTATCTATAATAAACATATCTCTAAAATTCAATGTCCTAGGTGCAAATAAACTGGTATTAGGAATTTATGTAAACTAAATATTTAACAATAAGCCAAAGGATATAATAATATTTAAATGTATAAATACGGTGCCAGAGCACTGCGTTTGTTAACGAAACAATAAAATCATTTACAATCCTACGAAGAAAAGTTCTAGTCTATTCTTAATTCGAATGTAAGCTAACCGCAACCTTTTATTATTCATCGTGGGTGGTTAGTTTGTAATCCTACTGATCAATGAATCCCCAGGTTCGTACAGTCGTGTCCTTGAATATGCACGAGTTTTAAAATCCTATTGTAGCTTGTATACCTGCTCTAATCGTGCTTTGAAAACTTCTATATATGCATTCTAAATAGGATTACAACTATTATTTACTATGAAGAATATATAAATATATTGTCAAAGTTTCATTTTATATTTCCACATGTTATCTCAAATATAACATACAATTCACTTTGAAAAATAATAAATATAGACATTTTCTAACGATAATATATATTTAACACAAATATTATGTTACTTGATATGACAAAACTTTCTAATTAAAATAAATGAAATAAACTCGTAACTCCTGTGCTAAATAATTAAAAATATTTAATATCGTATAAAAATTATTTAGAAAAATACACAATCGTGAAAATAATTACACCGGAAAGAAAGGTAGAAAGATTTCAAGGTAAGCTCAGTGAGAAGATAGGATTGTAGAGAATAATGTATAGAAGGTGTCGATAGCGTAGCTCGCGGTGTCAAAGGTCATTCGACTAGTACAGACGTCCTTGAGAGATGGAAAAAACCATTCCGGTTATCACAATCGTTCTTAGCAGCGCACAGACGTTCCCTTGTCGTCCCTTCTATGCAGGTGCAACGCGATTACCTTCGACGTGTGCGATCGTAATCATCGTTGTAAAATCTCTTCTTCATTCTCTTTATTTCTTTCTTTCTTTCTTTCATTTTCTTTGTAGAAAAAAAAATCAAAAAAAAAAAAAAAAGGTCGAGGTTCCAACGATCGCAATTAAGTTTCCGATTCGAGCAAAAACTTGATTGGTCTATCCCTTGCCCAACTCTTTAATCTTCTTGATTATCGTAAAGAAAAAGAAAAAGAGATAAAAAAAAAAGAACAATTAAAACTAAACGAACTCGCGATAGAATAATAATAATTAGTATTTCTAAATTTTTCGTCAGAAATTCCATGAATTGATTTAATACGAATAATAATTGTATAGGGATCATAATGAATAGAAAATAATTTCGAAGACGAATCTATCATTGCGTAGGCCTAAGAACTTAATCTTCGTTGATAACCTTCTTTGAACTAGAACGAAAGAGACGTTAACATCGATGTCGGAAGTGTCAACGTACGATACGATAGATTAGTTTACATTATTTTTCTCACCTAATAATTTCCGTCAATCTATTGAGAATGTTCGCGTTTATTGAAAAAGAAAAAAGACAAAAATATTAAAATGAAAAAAAGAAAAGAAAAAAGAAAAAACAAAGAAATGTGAAAAGAAAGGCAAAACTATCCTCCTTTTTACTATCTCCAATATACGGTTCACGTATTCTTGATATATTTCTATGATTAGAAAATTGTAACAAGAGGAAACAACGGGATTGATCGATCATTCAGTAAAATCTTTTCTTATTTACTCAAACACGCGGAAAACTTGAAACGATGGACAGGATAGATATTCGTGGCAATAGCCGAGGAAGCATTTCCAAGTGGAACAAATCGGTGCTTTGAGCACAAATCTTGGCATGAAAGCGGGCAACATTTTAAACCTAAATCCGCATGACGGATGTCCCTTCGTGTTCACGAATATATTCGGTTAATCCCGTGCGTATCGGGAGCTACAAGTTCTGCACAGAAAATCTACTTAAATATGACATCTATTCTTACCAAAAACTATTCTCTATGGCATATAATTTATTTCATAATAATTTACATGGAATAAAATTTAACGTATAATCACGCGTATATAGGTACATGTAGTACCTAGTTGTTCCCCCCCAAGAAATAATAATTGTTACGTATTCGTGACATTAGAAACAATGATAGTCTATTATCAATTTAACAATTAACGTAATATTCTACGCGAACAGTTGAATACATAAACATCGAATTCGTAGAAACACGTAAGAGAGCCAAGGATAATTTCACGTTAAACGAACGGAACGTATTCACGAGTCATTATTTATCAGCTAGTTTTCTCTCACCTTGCTAGAGATCTCGGCTCATTAATCTGACAGGATGATTACAAGCGTTCTCGCGATGAACGTTTGAATTCCACATGCTCATAACATATATATACATGTACCTTACGAGTCTTTATCTTTAATTAATCTGTCCCGTTCAACAACTTTTCGACTAATTACTTATTCCCATAATTTAGGCTAATGGGACTAACATCAAAACAGATTTTGAATATCTTACGACTTTCATTTTTAATAACAAATTTATACACTAATTAAAGATGTTCAACAAGTATTCATCCAATTTTTGTTTGTCACGTCATCTCTAACTCATTTCTTTCTTTATATTATTAAATAATACATAACAAAGTATACTAACTAAACGATAGAACTGGAAGGAATATCGGTATTGCTCAAGATTAATCGAGACAGTCGATCGATAAAAGAATGACACGAACGGTGGTTGGAACGTTTTTATCTCGATGCTTTTATTTTTTTTTCCTTTCTTTCTCGGGGGGTGTCGAGGAGAAAAAAGGTATCGAAAGGCGGTAGCGAATGTTGTGTAATTCCACCTTCTTTTCCCTTTCCTCGTGGTGTACAACTTCCTGTCGTGCTATGAAATAAAGAAAAAAAGAAAGAAAGAAAGAAAGAGAAAAGGGTCGAGTGACGATGCAACAACGTTAACTTCGGGACAAATCGTAGAAGAATAAAAAAGAAAGAAGAAGAAGAATAAGAAGAAGAAAAAAAGAAAAGAAAAGAAAGAGAGAGAAAAGATATCGAGATTTCGAATCGGACATAGCCATCTTTCTTGGTGGAGAAACAGGCGTGTTTATTTATCGGTGTCCAGCCTAAAAGGGCGACAAAAAGCACGACGACACGAGCTCCGTTTGCAGAACGAAAGAACCAGTCCTCCACTTCGTCGAGCACGCACTACCGATCCTATCTTTCTTTACTTATTCTCCCTCTCTCTCACTCTTTCTTTCCTCTTCTTCATTTCTTCTTTATTCATTCTTCTCTTTCTTAGTTCGCGGCCGAGATTTTGGGCCCGCCGACGTCGAGACGTCTCTGAATGGCGACACGAAAGTGAATGGAGAATCCAAAAGGACGACCGGTCAGTCGGTTGGCCAGTCCTGCCCTTACGTCCTCGTTAAAATCGAAACTACTCGCGTAGTTAGCTCTTTCAACAAGAAAAAAATATCCCATTGTAACATTCTAACTGATCTCTCTTTCTCCATTTTTCTTCTAATATATTTTCAAATCTATTCAAGTATATAAGTTTCTAATGAAACATTTTTTTTATCTCAAATATATATTACTAATGAAATGTTAGACAATTTTCAACGAATCATATCTTACGTTTAAAACCGAATAAAAAAAAAGGATTTTCTATAACTATCTATTAGATGAATTTATAGAAATATTATATAAATATATCATTAGATTATATTTAAATATTGCTAAAAAAAATGTAAAACTTGGATCGTTTGAACGTGATTAAACGATTCATCTCACGGATCACTTCGTACAATTATCGCAAACTTTCGTTCTCGACGTGTTCGCTCGTTCGTTTCCTTTCTCGCATTTAATACACCATGGTTATTTTTCCACTGCGTAACCTCACCTCCTCCTCCTCTTCTCCTCTTCTCCTCCTCCACCAACGTATCTTTTTCTTATTCTTCCTTCTTTACTCCCCGTTGGAAGGGATCTTGCAGAAAATCCTGCGCGTCACGTAGAAACGTCTGGCAGCGAAGTCACCACTACAAGTATATATTTATACGAAAGCTACGCGATATTTTCTCTCCTCTCCTCTCCTCTCCTCTTCACTCCTCTTCTTTTCACTTTACTCCACTCTTCTCTCTCTCTCTTACGAGAGAAGAGACGCATTACGAGTCACCGCACGGAAGTATTTTTCCACCGTTGGTATCGTTTTATTCCTATTTACGTAGTATCATTAGAAAGTTAATAAGGAAACAGGTGTGCAGGAAAGGGAAATACCTTGTCAAAGTCCTACCCCGAAACGCCCATGTCATCGTAATAACTTACGATTCTCTTACGAGAAATTCTATCCATTGTCTTTTACATAGGTTGTACCATAAAGAAAAGATAACCGTTGTTCAACTCGGCAAAAGATATGCTAATAGAAATGCGACAATGTTAGAACGTATTGAAAATAAAATAACATTGGACCCTTTTAACGAATTTTCAATCTATTATTATATGCTTGCTTGTGCACAAATCAAAACGATTAATTTAACTTTTTTTTTTTAATTCATTTAGAATGTTATTATAGTATTGTCAAATTTTTACGATCGATTCGTAACACTATATTTATTTCTTACAATTGAATCGATGTATATCTGTTTTGTAAAAATTAAAAATTCCGAACGATAGAAACAACGTTTCTACTTATTAATTATAACTCATTCTTTTATATCATTAAAAGGGCCGACGTGTTTCACATAAAATATATATTATATACATAAATAAAGTGTTAACTTATAATATTAAAAAGAACACACACACACAATGTCCATAATAATCAAACTTAAAGCATCAATTAAACTAAGAACAATACAATAATAAATGATGTAACCACTGTATCCATTTTAATTCATCATTCCGCGAAGTAAATTGATTTAACATAACATGACTGGTTCGTATTAAAAATACAAAAAATATAAGAAAATAAGAAAACGAGATCGAGTTTGGCGCCGAAAAGGAAAAGAGAGTTGTTCATATTTCAACCCTGTTCCTTCTCCTCCTCCTCCTCCTCCTCCTCCTCCTCCTACTCTTCTTCTTATCCTTTGCCGAAAGAGAGAAAGATGAAGAGACTCTCTTTGTGGTTTCTTCCCTGAAACATTTCTTCTTCTTCTTCTTCTTCTTCTTCTTCTTCTTCCTCTCTGGTGGAGATAAAGTCTCTAGGGAGAGACGAGTAAGAAAGCGTAGGAGGGGGTGGTGGCTGTGAAGGAGAGGAAGATTCGAGAAGAGAAGAGATGAAAGAGAGAAAGAGAGAGAGTAAGAGAGTGAGAGAGTGAGTGAGTGAGAGAGAGAGAGAGAGAGAGACGGGGGACGAATATACGCACGCATGCGCAGTGCGTCCCGCGATCTCTTAGGCTGCCGGCCGCTTCGGTTGGCCTCAGTCGACCGCGACATTCGGTCCGCGAGATACGATTCGAGTCTTGGATACAATCGATAGGTCGAACATACAAATAATAATAATAATACAAATACAAAACAGAAACGATAAACGTAGACGTACACTCTGACGTAGGACAAGACTAGGACCCATACACACGTCAGATCCTTCCACTCGTCGAAGAAGATCTAACGAAGATCGAATGGGTTCAAGAATCTCTATTGTAAAAGATCATCGAACTATATTTTGCCCGTTGTTAACAAATTGCTATGAGATCGATGAAAGAAACAATAATAATAATAATCACAGAGAAATAATATTTTATCATGCGACGAATGAAATTAATTTAAGCTGAACTTTTGGGAAAAAGAAAAAAAACAGGGAAAACATTTTTTTATAATTAATATTTATTTGAAAAATAATAATAATAATAATAATATAAAAATATAATATATTAGAATATAATATAATATAAATAAAAGGAGAATAGAGAATCGATAAGAAAGATCGTTAATGAATTATTTCTTAGATAATATTTGTGGCTAAAATCGGTTCGCCGGTAGCCACGTGTTTTGTTGACTGATGTCTCGATCGTGGATAAAAGATCGTCAGAGTGATCGTGCGTGGATCTGTATTAATAAGAAGAAGACGACGACGACGACGACGACGACGACGGTCATGTGTTCCTGATCATAGGGAAATTTTTTGTTAAAAATAACAAAGAAAAAGAAAAAAAGAAAAGAAAAGAAGGAAGTAAGGAAGGACGTTATCATCGTAGGAGGGTGGGTGGATGTGATTTGTAAATGACGATAATGTTGCCGATGATGTAACCTATCCTAGCTAAGCTGGTGTTATCGATCTTTAGGTAGACGAAATGACGCGCGACGGGAGATTATTATTATTGTTGGTATTGCTTATGGCGTACGGATTACTCGCGGTTGAATCTAGGTATCATCGCGAGGATAGTTCTCTCGAGCCAAGAAGACATCGGCACAGACACAGGCATGAAACGTCGATTAGCAGAAGGAATCATCACGAGCCGGTTGACAGACGATCGTCATCGAGTTGGTCACGAGAATTGGATTACGACGAATACGACGATATAAATGAGGATTCACGACAAGACGATGATGAATATGACGGTGACGATGAGGATTACGATGGTATAAGGTCTTACGAGGAAAGGTTATATCCTAGATCGAGAGGGAAAAATTATCAGGAAAGAATATACGAATCGAGATATCCAAGACGTCATCGTGAAAATTATTACGGTTGGTATCACGATGAGGAGAAACGTCGGATTTCGATGAGATATAATTGGAAGAATCGTCACAGGTCAAGATTAGAAAGACTCGGTAGAAACCGGCACAGGGGAACAGCTGGAGGAGAAGGTGGAGGAGGAGGAGGAGGAGGAGGAGGTGGTGGCGGTGGTGGTGGAGACGGGGTCGGAGGAGGCAGTGGTTATTCGAGAAACCGCGAAACTTTTCGCGATGATTTTAGCGAGGAAAACGACGAGGAGGAAGAGGAAAGGTCAGCGCGACGTTACGATGACGATACCGATCGTACCGATAATCATTATTCCTCTTCGTCCTATTCACCCTGGAGAAATTCCAAGAAACATAGGAACAATTGGAGACGAGATTGGAGAGGTAACAGGCAAAGTTCGATTGGTTATCGTAACGTAAAGAAATTCTACGATCCTACTAGCATCGACCTCGATAGTACGAGAAAATTAAGGCTGGAAGATCAAAGGAGAAGGAGAACGAACTTGACCGAGAGAATCTTAGAGGATTACGTCGAGAGTGAGAAAGAAGATGAAGAGGAGGATGATATTTGGAAGGAAGCCGAGAAAGAAGAGGAAGAGGATGACGGGACTGGAAATGTCGACGATGATGTTGATACTGATGAGGAACTCGATAACGATTTTTATAAAAACGAAAATAAGCCGCCGTTGAACAGTTACGACGATATCATCAGAAGACTAACGTCAGAGGATCCGAGTACGGCAAAGCCGACGGTTAAAAGGGATTACAGGAACGTTGGTATAGAAAAGTATCCCTTGCGCGTATCTTACAACAGCAACAACAGCGGATCCAGAAATCTTACTCGTCCGAAGGTCGTCGGCTCTTCTTACGTTACCAGCGCGTCCAGTTATCTTGTAAATAAAAAGCCGTCTAAGGGAGAGGAGGTTGTGGATATGATGAGAGTCTCGATGATCAAGTCCGCGAGTGCAGAGATCGAACGTAAACCCACGAAGAACGTGATCAGTGTCGTGGTTAAAGACGATGACGAGCATTCTGGAAAAGCAAAGACCAAGAGTCTCGAGCAGGAATACGATGACTATTTGAACACCGAGGACAACGAAAAGGAGGAGGATCTCATCAAGGCCGGCGTCGATGATGATTCCGGCATGCAATCGGACGTCACTAACACGGTCAGTCTAATATTCTTAACGTATTCATTGAAATTTAAATTCGACTAAACGAGAAAAAATCAATTGTTTATTTCTAAACCGTATGAAAAAACCTATGATAGTTTTCAACGAAGAGCACCTATCTAATCCGAAATCATTTGTAAATTGCGCCCACGAGAAACCGCAAATCGAGCCTACACAGATAGAAATCTTTTCTTCCTATTAAATGACCTTGGCGAGGGAAAGATCCCGATCTTAGCGATGACCACTACGATTTCCATCGTAGTATCGATTCTTTCTTCTTTTCACCGAGTATCCTTGAAAAAGGGCAACGATCTAAGATCGCGGCCTTGAAAGATAAGCTCATATCAGAATGTTATATCCACACGAGGTGGGACATCGACTCTGTCAATAAGACGTCTAACCGATCGGATAAACATCTATCATGTTGATCCTAAAGATTCCAACTTCAAATCACACCTATCGTTTTAATGAACTCTTATCGATACATAAATCCACGATAAAGATAACTCGAAGGATATCTTGAAAATGATTCACAAATGGGAGGAATCTGTACGAAGCAATCACGTTGAATCGCATAGTTGAAGCTGGTAATTTCGCACGTTCGCATTCTTTCGAGACCTCGAGGGTGTATGCGACGTTACCCTTCAGCGATTCTCGGTCTCGCACGGCTGATCTCGTGATCGACTTTCACGATGCAACGCAACAGACAAACCACCTCTTTCTTTCTCTCTTCCCCCCCCCTCACCACCACCACCACCACTTTTCTCTCTGTTTCTCTTTCTCTTTTTATCTTGTTGCACTCGAGAAGATCGTTTTGGATCGTCCTTGGCAGTGCTATTCGCCACGGACCGTGAATCGCGTCAGACACCTACAACAGTCTTGCTGCTTACGACGAAGCAAACCATGCTTATCGAAAACCCTCTCTTTCTCTCTTTCTCTATCTCTTTTTCTCTCTCTTGAGATTCGTTAAGTACTCTAGTTCCGAGAACTGTTTCAAATCTACGACGTTCTTACCAACATTATTAACGACTTCGTATTTGCATTCGTCGCGACGTTGGTGGCTTCTCTCTTTCTTTCTTTCATCACCTAAGATTAGATTATCCTTGAATAAAACGTACTTAGATACCTAGTCTTTAACTGTTGAAAATCTTTCGGAAAATCGGTTAAATTCATCAACGATGTTCCTAGTACGCCAATCTTCATTGCCAAACGCGCCATTCACTCTGATTGTTATTCTGGTACTTGTGTTATACTAATGGACGAGTACTAGGAAACATTGTTAACTATAGCCGATGATGAACTTTGTTTCTACGCTAGTTGGTAACATCAATGAATGAATTTCAATTTCTATCACGTGCATTATTATACATTTGATTAAATCTAATATTGTGCATGTGAATCTAATGTAACAAAAAAATAAGAGTTTTATTTATTTAGTTTTATGAATGTATAATTATTGACATTGCGAGATAATAGTAATAATCATTTTGAAATGATCGATACGAATTGTTGGATAAAAAGAATTCTACGAATTTAGGGTTGAAAGAAAAATGAAAAAAAAGGTTAGAGTGAGTCTTTTGATTAACGAGCGCGAATTTCAAAGATTATTTTCGTCCTCCTTCGTCAAAGCCAATGAACATTCGCCATATCTTTCCTTGTGGATCCAAAGAAGCATATAGTCAGTCTACTCAGCCTACAACCAAAAACTCCTTTCTCTTCTTCTTTTTCTTTTTTTTTTTCTTCTTCTTTTTATTCTTCTTCTACTTCTTTGTCCTTTTCTCTACATGCACATCTTTGTGTTTGCTCGATCATCCTGTAAATAGATGGAGGAACGCTTTCTGCGTACGTCAAGAAGCGGCCTCTCTTCTCTGCATCCTAAAACAGTTTAGGACACAGATGTTACGGATCGTTCAATGAAAATAAGGCGGAAAGTAATTTCGGGAATGTACTACCGGCTCGTGTTGTCGTAAGCTGCCATGAGAAAAAGTAACTTCCATCTGACGAGATCGACGAGAGATCATGACGTAGTGGGGGTTGAGCAGGGAGCGGAACAGGGGGATCGTATAAAAATAGTATTCGACAAAAATATGATTCGGCAGCGATTTGTTTTTTTCCATCTATTCAAAATACGAATCGTCTGGTAATAAAAATTCAATATTTTTCTTTGGAATATTTTTGTTTAAAATAATTCATTGAGTTTATATATAGAAAAAAAAATATAATGTCATAAAAGAATAATTCAATCAATGTTCAATGATTATTTTGCCGGTAGCCTTTTGCCGATTCGAAAGGTAATCGACAACGTCCATCGTCTAGAACGCTTTCAACCATTTCTTTTTTTTCTGATAATTTACAAAGGTAAAACCCGCCACGTTCCATTGTAAAGCTTAAAGCCTCTTTTACCGAGGAGGACGTAGCAAGGGGATTGTTAGTCTCGCGTAATTGAGCAATTCCACGTGCTGGTCTCTTGCACCGTAAAATCCATGCAAGTTCTATGCCGCGGGATCAAAGAGAACGATAAACTTTTCCTGACACGCGATTATATAGCAGAATCCTATTCGAGGAGATTAAAGATCCTCTTTCTTTTATGATCTTCCAAACTGAAATCAAAAAAGATTTACGAATTGAATATATATTTATACTTTTCTTTTTTTTCTTCAAATTTTTTGTCATCGAGCGTAGAACTTTCAACTGTTTCAATCGTGAGAATTTCACTATTTTTCCCATGCTCGTTTTATCAAGGATCTTCTTATTCCTATCCGAGAACTCGAGACAAGCCGTACGTACAGTTGTCCGTTTGTACAAAACCCGACGAGCATTTAATTCGATTATGGCTCATCTCAGCGAGATAACGGACAGTCTCCACGTGCTCAGTGCATCATTTAGAAACACAACATATATCCTTAACGAGCGAAAGCGCGTAATAGGATTTGTTACAAATTATCGCCCAAAGCGGATGTCAAATGTAATATCTGACTGGAATTAACCTTTTTTTGGGTCATCGATGTTAAATCAAATGATCGTTTTCTTAGAAATTAAGGAAAACAAGAAACTCAATGGCAACGGAGATTAGCTCGTCAATCCGAAAGAGTTTTATAATAGCCCACCCAAAAGATGAATAATATTAAAGCACAGACATCAAAGATAATAATGTTTAGGTCATCAGTCTCGAAAAAAAGAAAAAGAAAAAATAATCGTCTTCTTAGAAATTCGAATAAACAAACGAACGAACGAACGAACGAACGAACAAACAGCATCTCATTTGAGAAGATTATCTTATTAATCTGATGAAACTTAGCTTATCCAAACATGCCTTCTGTATGGTAGTACTTGACAATCCCTTCGCTATCACGGAACTCGATGTTAATATCAAAAAGATAATCGTTAACTTGCTCAAGAAAGAAGTCCCTCGGGGTATCATGTTTCACCAAGTTTTATGGGAACCAACAGTGCCTTCGCTGTGACTTTCAGCATCCGGTTCACCTAGCTTAACCTAGCTTAACCTAGTATAACCTAACCTAGCCTAGCCTAAAAGAAAATTTTGTGACCTCTTCTAAAGGCAAATTCATCTTCTATGTGTACTTTCTTACATGGTTACATACATAAATTATCTTTCGATGTTTGCGTATACATATATATGTAGATGTTCCTCGTTAACGAATTAACAGGTTGCTAAGAGAACGATAACGCTCTCTTAGCAAGAGGTGTTAATAGCTGATAAAATGAGCCGTATAATAATCTACCTTTTCACTTTTCTAATCTCACCTTCAGCACAACGCGATCTAATATCTTTGAAGATAGAAAAAGTCGAAGTCGAATGGAATGGCACACAGCTTTTATCGTTCAACGAACTCTAATTATATACCACCTGTTAGTCCAGCTTCCGCGTATCATAAAAATTCTAATTGGGTAATGTCGATCCTAAGAATTATTTTACGATTAGACCGATTGTTCTCGTTCGTAACGATCCTCTTTGAATGCCGCACTATTATTTAGCGTACGATCCGTTTCTACGAACGATCCACGGTATTTCTAATCGATTGTTAATCACATCAATTTCATTCAGATCGAATGTTATAGTCTTGTGTAAAAGATTATTCTTCAAATTCTTGTTTAATTTGATTATACACAAAAATACTTTCAAGTTTATTCGAAGAGTTCATGGGAAAGCTCTTAAAACGTTTAAGAAAAGGATTTATTCGGTTGAGTTACAAGTGGCATCTAACTTCGAACTCTATCTCGATTTAATCTCAATTTATAATCGACCCAAAGGAAATCGATCGTTCGTTCGCAATTTCTCTCTCTCTCTCTCTCTGGACGATAAACATTTGATAAACTTCGTGGAATAATCGTTTACGTTAAACGACGAGCACGTACCGTGTCTCCCTTCCATATCTTTCAGCTTCTCTCGTTGCCCTTTTTTAATACTTCCTATTCAAGATCTCCCTTTCGCCGAAACGCTTTCTTCTCTTGAAGTATCAAGAAAACGACTTTACCACCTGACCGTGAGAGGAACCCCCATAAATACCATCGAGCTTGGCCACAGAAGCTCGTTACCGCGAGCATAAAATTCACCCTTGTACTCATGAACATGTCAAGATACGGCCCTTCGAATTTCACATATGTAACTGAAGTTCATTTCTATCGCGTAGGACCGTAATTCTTTTCTAAATTTACTGAAATTATCGATGCCGCCTATGATTTTCATCGTTTTTCGTATATCATACATTTTTATAATTTTTTTTTATTCCAGAATAATTTCAATTCTTTCGCAATGCGTGATAGAGAGGGGAACCGCGAGGAAATTAAACAAAAACAAATAATTACACAAGTAATATATAATGTTAGGAATAAATATGTCGAAGAAAAAGTACGAAAATAAATAGAAACTTTGTTGTAAATTTTGTATCTACTAACGCCCACTTGGGAAGCCCTTGACAATAACGAAGTTAGCAAAAAGATGATTAACGATCGGAAAACATCAAAAAGACTGGGTT